AATGTTCAATTTGGGGGATTATCATTCTGAAGCCCTGTGCAAAATATGTTTGGTATCAAAATTGGTAATGTGGAGAGCTAGAAATCTTTTAAAGTTATATATGCGTATTTCATACATATGAAATTCTACAGAGGTTTGGAAGGCAAATTATTGTTTATTTACAGGGGAAGATAACTTCTTTGCACTGTAATGAAATGCAGTAAATTTCAACACAAATACTACTCATAGTGTTTGAAGAAGGATCAAGTATATATGGAAAAAACTTACTGGAAAAAAACAAATTAATTTGGAAGACTTCATGCAGAAAAAGCAAATGGAAGCTTTTGAACTAGTATCCAAAGCACAGGGTTTATCTGCATAGAAGGTAATTGGATGCTACAGTGTCTGACAGGCTGGATGACTTTCTTACCCTTTCAAGAAGGTTTACTAAGAGAGAGCTGGAGTATAAGAGTGATTTAGCTGATTGAATTGCTGTATTTCCTTGATACCTTATAGTTTTCTTATTAGCATGGGAGTCATAGAGATTTTTACGTGCCACATGATGGAGATAATATTTACTTAATAAATTTTACTTTCAAATATACCACGGAATTGCATACCGCAGAGGAAAAGTAGTGACATTGAAAGTCTCATAGGAAATTTGGACTTGGATTCTTTCCTTCTGTTCCATTTTGTAAGAGGTATACATGTTACATTAGCAGCACAAAGGCAGACTGTGACCCTCCTTGCCATTAACTGCAAATCAAGTGGTTTTTACACAAGTCGTGGTGTGATTTAGTGGCTTGGGATAGCGTGGGATTTGTGGTCAACTTTCTCAGCCTCAGCGAGGGTGAAATACCTAGAAAAGAGGAAGGATGGACTTGTGGTTTAAGTATGAAATTGAAAAACAGGAGATCTGTTCCTGATTTGATGACAGATTATTTGATTTGTGGAAAAGTAATTTTTTTGTTCCTTAATTTCTGCTTATGGAAATGGTAGTGCTATTGACTGATTCTGCTGAATAGAGGATTTGATTTATTAACATTCATTATGTGCCTTAAGAGAAGGAGGAAGTCAATATTAGGAAAGTGGCCTCAAATAACTTATTTAATACTTTCCTCAAAGAAAAGTTACTTGGCAGTAGAATATCCTGAAAGCAGTATCTTCTATTGGTGTGTTTATGTCCAATTCATAGGTATGTGTAACAAAGAAGATACATTTTAAAGTTCTTTCTGTGTGATTTCTGTCATATCTACCATATTCTATCATCTACCATATTTACCAATATCTGTCAGCCTCAAATATCTGCCACTTGTATCTTTATAGCTCGTTTTAAAAAAAAAAAATATTGCCTGTCCAGATCATGTCAGGGAGTATTCTGGAAAATGTTTCTGTTCTGTTGGTTTTCCCCCTCGGGAATGGCTATAGCAACAAAGAACATACAAAAACCCAGAGTTCATCCTGCAGCAGAGGTTTGGAACACTGAGACTGCTGGGCACAGCCTACCAGAGGTGAAATAAAAGTAGTACTGTTAGAGAGAGGCAGGTCCCACACACACAAGGAAGGTTCATTTCACTCGACAAAACTGCAAATAAGTTTGTCTTCCATGGAACTGGGTTTCCTGTTGTTTACACGTGTTTTTAGTTGATGTTCCTTGTATTACCAGTTACATGCATGGCTAATGACAGTGATTCTTGATTCTTTAATGGAGTGTGCACTGCAAATATACTCTGCACTATACTGTTGTGGATTTTTGAAACATCACCACTGTCCTGAGCAGTGCATTGAACACGTTCCCCCATGTGTAGCTAAACTGCAGTGTGCCAAATGTCACTCTGTCACACTTGCCGTCCCAGAAGCAGCAGTTGCCCTCACTACCTTTACCCTCCCTGCAGCAGAATTAGCAAGCTCCTCTCTCAAAGCTTTTCTTCTCTCTGCTGCCTTATCACCAGGATTCAGATTTGTGTGCAGTCAGATGTTCCTCCATCACTTACGGTGCAGAATACAGCAATAGAATATGTACCTGGGACTTGATTCCCTTAGAAGTTATAGATAATTCAGAATCTAAGGGGCTTGCTAATGGTGATGTGGTCAGCTGCAAGTATTTTCAACTCTTCCTCTGCTACCAACACAGTGTATCTTATCAAGTTTATCAAGTTTATCTTATCTTATCAAGTTTAGGGTCTTGATTTGCATAAAATTGTCTCAATCTGAGCTCAATATACCTGTGAGACTAGAAATCTGAGATGAAGATCACGACTGATAGTGTGGCTATTTTTACACAAGACACATAAAGATAATTATGGAGGAATGGAGAAGAGTTAAAAAAAAACCAGGATCACTATGCTTGCATAAGATGAACACTTTTTCAGGCAAAATTCACCTTCCTATGAGTTTTGACTTTTTTTATACACAAGGATAGCAGCATTGCTGTTCAAAATACTACCTTCCTCTGTGTTTCTGCTTCATTGTTGCTAATTTGCAGCTAAAAACCTGACTATCATGCTATGCTTAACCAAGTGTCTTATCAGTAACTTTAAAGAAACTTTCTTGGACACTTGTTCTAGTCAGTCATCTGAGTGTTTGATGCACAGCTGCTGGATTTCTGTTGCTAGTTAAGTCTTGCTGGACATCAGGTCAGCCCACCCAATGGCATCAGCATTTTGCCAGACTTTCATACCGCTTCACTAAACATAAGGCAGGAAAGTGCTTTTTTATTGTATACTGCCAACAACTTCTCCATCTACATCTTCTGTATAGTATCTTGAGGCATACCCACACAACTTAATACACCTTTAACTCATCAAGAGATCTGGCTCTTTGACAGCTCAGTCAGTAATCCTTCTACTGTCATGGATATGAGAAACTGCCTTGTTAAGAGAACTCCACTAGTCATGATGAACCATTGCCAAAATAAATGAATTCATAAGTGAGTGGATGGTCAGTTCCACTGATGGGTATGGAAGTGTAATATGTGATCTTTCAGTGACTGGTTAACTGGATTTTTGGGTTGATGTTCCAAAACAAATTGTAAAGGCAGCAGAAGTCAACCAAGAGCAGACAATCTTAATTAGAGTAGGCACCATGTCTGACCAGCACACTAGCTTAACATACAAGAGAGCCAAACAGACTGCTGAGGAAGTCTTAAATACTCAGTGCAGTCTGGAGAGATTAAATGGTCTTACTGCCATTTGTGAGTGAACATGCTTTAAAGGAATAGTGTGTGCTTTAAAATTGCTGTCTACATTAACTACCATTAAGCAGCATTGCATTAAAGGAATTGATTTTATGACATGTCCGTTTGGACACGAGAGGAAAAGTGTCAGGTTGCCCTAGACCTTAATTCGGACTGATGTTCAAATGTTGGTTTTGGCACTTGTCCTGGACTTGGCAGTGGTATAATTTGTGTACATTTTTTTTTCCCCCTACAAGTTGGAAAGGCACATGCAGATGCTGTTGCCAGAAATAAATCCTTGTGTTTATCACAAATAGGTTATATCCCCTTTTGTCCATTAAATCTTGACAGTGATTTCACTATGCATGGTCTGTTATACCACATCACAGATCCAAGTGAAAGAAAACAATTATCAATCAGTCAAGAACTGACAATCAGGTCTACATTTCAGCAAGGATCTAACACAAACCAGATGCTTTTCTGTCTTTCCCAAACAGCACAGTGCCACTGCATTCACTGCTTGGCTGTCAGCTTCTCATGTCAATGGAGGGAACCAGGCTTGGTCCTCAGTGCAGTTTTTATATCTGAGTCCTCTAGGGGGGCTTGCATGTTATCTGAGCACAGGTACTAGCACCCTGCAGAATTATCCCCTTGTAGCTTTTACAGTTGTTTTTTCTCTGTGTCTGAAAAGTTCTGAGCTGCTGCTATGGACAGCAATTTTATCATGGGGATTGTATGGCCATGAAAAGATAAAAAAAAAGAGGAGAAGGAGCATTGGAGGGGATCTTCTGCTCAAATGTGAGCAGAAAGTGCTAAAATCATTCTGAGGAAAGGTGTAATTTTTCATGGCTTACTAGCACAATCTGTATCTTGTACAAGAAATGGCCACCTTTGTGCAGTATAACTTGAATTATCTGTGAAGTGTTTTGAGGGTGGAAAATGCTCTACACAGAACTACCAGCTGAAATCTGAAACTTTAAGTCGTGGTTGGCATCCAACTGCTTTCTGAAGGGTTTGGCTTTGTGTTATAGCACAATCCAGAGAAAATCCTTGTTTTCTGCTTCTAAGCTACAGTCAGACTGTTGTAGGAACAGCTGATGAGCTTTAGCCTTGATGTGGGCACAATTTAAACAATTGCTGCAACCCAGTCCCTGTGCTTGACCCCATCTGTCTGTAATCAGAGAGATCTCAGAAAACTCTGACCCTAAACTGGTGACAGACTGCTATTAGAAGTGTCTTTTGGTAAGTCCCAAAGCTGTAGTTCATAGAAACCAAACAAAAATAAGAGCTGTATTTTAACATGTTAGTGATGAGTATAGATGCAGTCATTGCTGTCGGTAGCAGTGCAAGCACATTACATGATATGTGGTTAGTATTTAAACTTGTCACTTGTTCTTCTGGACAAGGGCTGGACACCTGATGTCCACATGCCAACCCCTGAGAGCTATTAATAGGAGTGTTTGAGACAGAGAAAACCACATACACCTTGTAAGTGTTTAAAAAAAAACTTTGTTGTTGGGGAGGTTGCGTTGGCAAAAGAAGGCAGAATCGTACCGCTCTTGGCTTTAGACGGGAGCATTGCAGAGAGGAGGGCGTAACCATCTTCCTTCAGGAAGTTCGAGATCCAAAGCTCATGACAAGGAAGCCCACCCTTCTCGGCGCCCGCAGAGCGCGGTTTGTGCCTGGCTGTCGGGCGCAGCCGGGGCTCCTTGCGGCTCTCTCCCGCGCCAGGTGTCCCACGCACGCCAGGTGCCCCTGGCAGCGGGAGGCGGCCCCGGTCGGGCCGCGGGCGCCTCTGCCGGGGTCGGGCGGCGCTGCCGCTCCCCGCGCGGCGCCTCCTCCGCCTGGCAGGCGGGCGGGCAGGGACCGGGAGAAGGAGAGGGGAAGGGAGTGCGCCGAGCTCGCCGCCGCCGCCCCGGAGCTGTGGCAGCGCGGCCGGCCTGTGGGCGGCAGCCGGACCCCCGCCCGCCCGGCAGCGGGAGCGCCTCCGCCACCGCCGCCCGCCCGGGGCCGCCTCGGCGGCCAGCGGAGACCCCGCCGGCCATGGAGCTCTCCCTGCGGCTGCTCCTGGCGTCCTGCCTCTCGCTGGGGGCGGCCGGGGAATTTGACAGAAGGTAGGCGCGGGGAGAGCGGGGGCGGCGGCCGGGAGCGGCCGGGCAGGGCGAAGGCGGCGTTCCCCGGGGAGAGCGGAGCTAGCCCGGGCTCTCCCCTTGTTGACGCGGGGCGCTGGGGTGGTCCCGGGCTCCTGCCCGGCCGGCTCCCGGCGAGGCGGGGGCGGCCGGAGCGCTGGGCGGGACGCGTGAGGCGCTGCCGATGCCCGGTGCGGGAGCCGGGGCCGCAGGTGGAGGCGCGGGGCCGCCGGTGCCGCTCCCGGCACGGAGCTGCCGGCCCCGAGCTGCCGGCCCTGCCCCGTACCCCGTGGCTCGGCAGCCTGAGCGCGGGCTTAGGTAAAAGAAAAGTTTATTGCTCTGGCGGGGCTGCGTCCCTCAAGAATTAAAAACAAAGCGCATCGCGTGCTGTAGAGATAAAATTAGTTTATTGACGCCCGGAGGCACTCCCAGCACACGGCGGCGGAGATCGCGGCTCAAGTTCCAACACGAAGCTCGCGGCGCGTGTGCCCGCGGGCCGTGTCGCCTCCTGTCGCGTCGTGTCGTGTCAAGTGTCGCGACGGGCGGCGCTGCGGGGAGCGGGCACTGCGCCGTGAGGGACAAGCGGCCAGCGCGACCCCCGCCCTCCCCAGGGATTCTTTCTTTTTTTTTTTTTTTTTCCTTTCTTCAATAGCATCTGTTCAAATGCAGCGCTCACGGGGTTTCAGCCTGTTCTTTAAAGACATTACCGATTCGTGTCAATAGTTTATAATTGCGTGAGGCCGTGGTATCTTTTCCTTGGAACAAGGGAAGACTACAGCTCTCCTTTTATGTTTGATTTCTATTTAACAATCCAAGAAGCTTTTTTTTTTTTTCCTTTTTTTTTTTTTCTTTTAATGTTTCAGTGAGAAAATTTTGCCGTATATTGTGAACAAAAACAATGCCTAAACTTTGTGGTGGCATTTATTCCATACTATAGATTCTGTTTCAGACTCCTGAACTTCTGTTCAGTGCCAGCCTGGGAGTGGCAGCAGTGAGCGTACTGCAAAGCTTGTCAGCTTTTTCAGGCTTTGCTCAGTTATCCTAACTATTGTCTCCCCTCTTCACCTATTGTCATTTGCATTTTTTGAACTAAACAATTTATTAGTGATAGAAATATCCCAGGCTTAGCTGAGAGCAGTTTTTCTCTTCAAAAAAAAAGTAAAAAAAGAGGTTTTTGCTGTTCTTTGTTTTTTTGGGGTTTTTAGGTGGTTGGTAGATTTTTTTTTTTTTTTTTTTTTTTTGGTACTCTAGGATGATTTTCGCTACTTTTAAAATGCTTCACCAGACTTTGTTGAACTGTCTTGTATAGGTGGCCCAGACAAATGGTCTTGTCAGCAGGACTGTGTCGCTTTGGAAGCAGAATTGACTGCTGCTGGGGCTGGGCCCGAGTGGCCTGGGGACAGTGCCAACGTGAGTATCACTGCTGCTGGGGCTTCTAGTCACTTGTAGAGAAGGCTTGTACACACCTAGTCGTGTCTTTCACGTGTCCACACACATCCTGACAATGCAGGGCTAGGCTTTTGCACGTGTGCGCCTGACTGACTTAGAAGGATGCTGTCATGTTAAAGTTCTGTCTGTGCTAAAAATGATTGCAGTCAAGTAAGGTAAAATGGAGTTAGGGTAGTGAGAATCTGGAAATTCCTTTTTGGTTTCTGCTTCGTTTTGTGCTCTGATCTTATAACGTGGTGTAACCACACTGTGTCATATTACAAGCACTGCAGGATGATAATATTTGCATCCAAGAGGAAACCAAAATTACTGGCATTTCACTTAGAACATCGATGGAAGTGTTCCAATTAAGTATTAAGCTCAAGTATTCTTTCAGTAAACCTAACCTAAAGGACTAAATCTGCCTGACAGCATCCTTTTACTGGGTCACACGTGAAGAGAAACATCTCTGAGATTCTCACATCTATCCAGACTCTTTGATATGACTGCAGGATAAATCAGTAGATAAGTCTTCATCATTAACTACATCTTCAATAGGAATTCTGTGGAGGCAGCTAGTACTGTGTAAAAATTAAAATTGTTAGGAGTGACATAGAGACCTCAGCTTGTTTAAATTACGACCTTTAATACTGGGGATGCTTACTCATGTGTTTAACACTCGTACATGAGAGACATCTTGAAGTTTTTGCAGGAACAAGCCTATAAACACTGGTCCTTAGCTTTTTAATTTTTTTTTTTATTTAGACATATATGTAGATGAGATAATTTTCTGTCAAGCCATTTTCAAAATAAAACAGGTGTTAAATGCTGGTTTCTAGTCTGCAGGGCAAATATTTGGCAAAAGATAGGAAAAGCCTTGGAAATGCAACTCTCAGCAAAGGTTTTGTTCAAATCTGTAAGCAGCAAGACTGGTTTCTCTCTTCCCAAGTATGTTACAAGCCCACAAGGTTTAATAGATACATAAGATGACTAGTAAAAAACTATGGAAAGTACTTCTGGAATACAACATCCCTGATACTGTTTCTTTGATGCAGGTTGATACCTCTCAGACCATACCATGAACAGTTTTGATTTTTAGGGCTCTAATTGGTAATAAGTAGTCCTTTCCTTGGCATGAATATTTATGAAGAAGGAAGAAGAGTATTTAGTAGGTTGATTGAGGCTACTCCAGAGGCAATAGGATCTGTGGTCCAGGAGTCTAGGAATAGGTCCACCTTTCATGATGCAGTTTTATTTGAAAATCATTGTGCGTTTAAATGCTTGAGGCTATGAAGGCTTAACTGGCAAATATCAATAATTTGCTTTTTTTAAAAAAAACAAACAAAAACCAAAACCCAAAAGAGTCCAGACTACTGTGTCACTTTTCTTAGACAAGTTGTCTTCCATATTGTGACCATAAATTACAGCTCATGTTTAGGTGAAAGTCAATTTCTCATTATTACCAAATCTGATTTGTGTTTGCATTTTTATGATATTGGCAGACAGAAGTTGCATAAATTTATACTATCAAAAGATTCATAATTAAAAATTGGAAACGAGACAAAAGTATACACAGAAAGTATAATTTATTTGTTGTTCTTTGGATTCTGTCAGTAAGTTAATTTTTAGTGCTAGCTTTTCCAGAGACTATTAATGCTTTTTGTTTTCCTTAAGGCTAAAGGTAGGTGAATTTTCACCTCCTTCAATTGCATTTTAGTCCATTATCCACAAATGTGTGTCCATGCACATTTAGAAGACATGTAGATAGGTATTTTCTGGGATCATCTCCAGTAATTGGGACCAGACTTCCAAAAGAAAACAATTATCACTTAGGTGTCAAAAAGCTCTCCCACCCCCTCCCCATTTTTTTTTCTTTACATACTGATAATTTTTGAATTTCATGGTCAGAAGAGTCTCATATATTTAGGTGAAAGTGTTACTAAAACCATCAGCAGCTCCTTCTCTGTTCTAAATAGGAGACAAACTATTGGCAAAATAAAACACGAAAACCCACCTCAGTTGAGGGTGGTGAAAATTCCAGACATATCACAAAGCAGGAGATTACACTAAATGAAAGTGAATCTCTCTAGTGCTTGCAGCCAAATAGAAAATCTCTAGTCAACTCTCCACCTTGGGAATGTGGCACCCAGTATGTAGGATTAACCTGGCACAGGCAACATTCCTGGCCTCAAAGGAAAACTTGGGTATTTTACTGTAAAAAGGAATATCAGTGAAAATTTTCCAAAAAGCCAAGTACGTGATTATTTCTTCTGCTTTCTCTTTGCTCAAAGGTGAAGCTCTTAGTCCTGTTCCCAAAATGAGTGGCATAATTAGGTGTCAGACTTTCTCTACTAGATGTACATTTTCTTTGGTGTTTTAGTGTAAGTTCTGTTTGCACAAGGAAAACAAGTATAGAGACAGGCTCAAAAATTACTAGTGAGACCCAATTTATAAACGTGTCCAAAAAAGAAGCTCCAAATATTTATGCAATAATGCTGAGCTCTTTATTAGTGAGTTGGAACTGCTGTTTTTCAAACCAACTTCAGCCGCCTTTGCTATGCCTGCAACTGCTACAGCACCTTTGGACTCTCACCTGCTTACTCATGCATAATTTACCACACGGGCACTAATTATCTCTAAATTTATCCTTCTGACAACAAATGTAAGGTGAGAGCCATGCTGGAGCCAGAGTGGAGCAGGCACACAGATACACGTGGGGTGGTCCCAGTTTGCAGAAACCTCTGAACTGTGATGAGCCAAGGGCATGTGGTCACTGATATACCTGGATGTGTTTTCTGCTGTCCAGCTGAGCTGCTCCACCAAGCACGTGTGGGCATGCCCTCTGCCCACAGCAATTGAGAAAAAAATGTGTTTATTTAAACCAGCAGTGTGATTTAAGGTAGTGGTTTAATTGTGACAAATGCTTAAGCCGTTTAGCTGGATATGTCAGCTCTAGCAGAGCAGGAGTGTGGTGCAGCTGATGAGTCTCATTAAGGCCTTAAGCCTTGGTGGCTCCGTGCTCCTGATCTTCCATCTGTAATCCATCCAGAGAGTTGCAAATGGAAACTGAATTGTATTAGCTGAACTTGGTTCTGTGAAGTGTGAAGTTATTCCTTTTATGTCCCTTTGACTGGCAAAGGAGTGCACGTGGAGCATAATCATGCTTAGTGCTGCTTAGCAACACCACTCAGCATAATTCAGCTGTCTTCTGCTCTTATAAACATGTAGGAAGAAGTTGAAATAGGGCCCTCCTTTAATTTACACTTCTTTCCTTACAACATCCTCTGTCTGCTCTTTACACCAGTCAGGACTTGTGCACGTAGGTCTGATCCGTCTGTGAGCTTGCTTCCAGAGCCTGTCAGTGTCAGCTGTAACATCTCAGCCAGTAGAAATATTCACTCAGCAGTGACAAGAAATTCTCTTCCCAAATGCCTTTTCAAATTCCAGTAAATATGCTTAGAAGTTGTCCTTCAGACTGAAAGAATCAAGAACTTTAAAACAAGTTGGATTTTTTTTTCTTTTTCTTTCTTGCAGGTTTTAAACACCCAAGTGAGATCCATGCTTAGGCAGCTAAATGCATTTTGAGATTGATAAAAATACCCATGTTTTCAAAGGGTCTGAAAAAATCTAACTCAAATTCATTGGCATTTCTTAGTCCTTGTATATTGAAAATCCATCCATGCTTGTTTAGTGGCTTAGATTTAGAACTGTGCATATCTTCCATCATTAACATAACTAAGTAGCTTTTCTTAGATTTTTATTTACTATGTAAAAGATTAATTAATTCAGCCTGGTGTGTAGAAAGGCTAATTTGGAAGCAACAAAAATTATGTTTAAACACCAACGATTAGCTCCCATGGAGTGCCCTCATCATTGATAGGGTTGAATTTGTACACTGAGGAACTCACTGCATTAATGCTCTAAAGTTAGGTATTAAATATCCCACTTGAAATTAGTCCAAAAATCCCATGTTGTTGCCCAGCCTGTGGAATTTACTTGCACTTTAATTAGTAGGAGTGGGAGTAATAGCTGTAAGTGGGAATAATCACACAAAAGCTTGCCTCTCTGAAAGATGCTATGTTGATAGAGTACCTGATGAAATATGTGTAAAAATAGGGTTGTTGTTGTCTTGCTTTATGTCTTACTGTTGTGCACGCGGCTGAGTTATAACCCAGAGGAAAAGTGAGGGTAGAAGGAGTTGTTTCTGGATTTCTTTTCTCCAGAGCAGGGGAGGTGACTTCCTGTGACACAGTATTTTTGGTGAAAGCAGGTATCAGCAGTGCATTTTTAATTCCTAAATGCTTTTGCATTGTAAGGCAACAGCACCCCTGGTACTGAATGTGTTGTCCTAACCCAGAGCCCATTCAAGGGCTTTTAAAGGACACAGGGAAAACCAAGTCAGGACACGTGTCCTTCAACACATGTTGCACAAATGCGAAAAATAATTCCTTGTGGGTATTTTTGCCACTCATCTATCTAGGTTTGCTCAAAACTGTTCTTAAAACTAATGGTCTGTCTGCCTCTGTTTTAGCTGGCTTACAAATATCTCTGTAGTTCTTTCAAAAGCTATACAAATTGTTTCTGCCTGTGTGTGTCTTTCATGAACAAAATACACCTGCTTTGAACCTGGCTGTGTGTCTGTTTGTAATTGGTTTGTACACCAGTTATGTGTAGTCAAGGACCACTACAGATGTGAAGATTGTTTCAAAATTTTAGCTGCATTTTAACAAAAAAACCCAAAAAAACCAACTGTGGAAAGAGATAATATTTTAACATAGATTTTAAAAGTTCAGCAGGATTTTTAAAAGAAAAGCAATTTGAAGTGGCTTGAATTCTCATTCTGCATTACGGTTTGGACAACTCCTTTGCTGGAGGTGATGGCAAAAATGGTTCTTTTTGCTGTGTTTACATAGATACAGAAGAGAAGACCAGGTCTGCAGCTTCAATAAACAAATGCAGATCTACTGTCAGACCCTCTGCTGACTGGAGTCTGTGTGACTGTTGGAGTCAGCAGATTTTGTCTGATGGATAGAAAGTTTGACCAACAGAAGATGCTTAACAGGAATGAAATTTAACTGAACATGGGTTTGATAAGCAGTGATATTTGATGACTTGACCCATTGCTGTGTGTGATTCTCCTTAAGCTGTAAGAAAATCCATGCAGTCTGTCTCAGGAAGAGGTGGTGAAGATGAGTGTGCTCTTCCAGAGAGCCCACTGGCTGTAACTCCATCTGGTTATCTCCCCCTGCTGAGGTTTGAGTGTTTTACCTGGAAAGCAAACCCAGAGTAGGTCAACAAAGTAGTTTTCCCCCACAAATGGCTTAAATGCCTAGGGACAGAACAGTCAAGGATGTATAAAGTCAAACCATCAGTTTACACCTCCCCTTATCTTAGCATCGTTAAAAAAGTGCTAATTGAAGGACTTCAGGCTGGCATTTAGATTTAGGCAAACCTGGTAGAAAGCATAGATTTCAGGAAGTTCTAAAGAGGACTTGCAAGAGAGAGGAGCTTGTACAAGTTGATGTCTAGCAGATGCAGGCATAACTGAGTGCTTTGCTGGGAACTGTGCATGCTGCTGCCTTCTCACAACCCTTGGGAAGGCTCTTGCGGTGTCTGTGCTGCTGTCCTAAGGAGCTCAAAGGCTGTGTACCTGTTCTGTGCAATCTCTGAGAGGGGACTGAGGTGGTGGGAGGGGGAGGAAGCAATGGCTGTGCTCTCATTGATGCTTAGAAGGAGATTTTGTATTGGTAAAAATGAAGTTGATGGGAGTTTACCCATATAAATCATCCAACACATCAATGGGAGAAGAGGCCATGGGCAGCTTAGGATTTCTGTTTCCTGCATGTTACATTGCTTTCCGTGGAAATGGCAATTCTGTATAGTCCCAGATGCACAAAAATGAAACCATGATTGTGTCAATAATGACCTGTGAAAATACTGGTGCCTAGGAGGCTGATCCACTAGCAGAAATATCCCTAAAGTCAATAAGAGTTTTGCTACTGAATTTGGGGTTGCAAGATCATAGTCTGAATTAATGCATTGTGTTGGCAGTGTTTAATAAATACTGATGTGGAGCATGTCTGCTTCTTATAAAATGACTGATATTTTTGTGCATCCCTGGTACTTTTCAAAGAAAAGGCATTTTATACAGAATTGCAATACTGCTTTACACTGCTATTCAAGAATAAAAATGAGGTTTTGCTATTTTTATTCAATTTTTTCCCCAGTTTAGAACCTTTATGCCTTTAAAACATGACTTGACTGTGTTAAAGATACAGTATCCTTTTCCATTTCCCTGCAGCATTCCTCATGCACTTCATATGCAGATTAGTACTTTTGCAGCCTGGTTTTTTCTAAGGAAATGACATCAGTAATCAATTTGACCACTTGCAACTGTAGTATATTTGTAGTTACATCTTCTCTGAAAGCCCAGCAACAACCTGAGGAGCTTCCTTTCACTGTAACCAAGGCTAAAGGACTCCCTAGTTAAAACTGATTCAAACTAGTACAAGTTGCAGTCATAGAAAACTCTTAAGTGTTGGTCACACACTACTCAAAATACAAAGAGCTGCTGTTGCTCAAGTCCCAGCCTGCTATCACAAGGCTGTGTAGCCTAGCAAGCCATGCTGCTAATATTAAATTTATTGGCAAATAAATTGATGTCAAACAGCCTGAAGCATATATCTGTGTTTTCATGTTATTTAAGTTTTGTAGCATATCTTGTTTCATGTGGTAGCAAGAGCTGAAAAGATTTCTAATTATTACTCTTAATTTAGATGACATTACATTTTTAAATGTTATAAAAATGACCAGTAAATTTGTGTGCCAACATGTTTATTGGTTGCAGATGTTCAGATACATATAAATAGGTGTAATTTTAATTGCTCTCAAATTAGCATCCAGATGCTAGGCCTTTGTGTTTGAGCTGTGGAGACACAGCACTAAATTAAAAATACATACCCATACTTAAATGAAAGGATACTGTGTCTTTAAGGAAAGCATTTGTGCTCTGTTGATGGAAATGTTGAACCTGAACCGTGAAACACGAGAATTTTTACAACTACTTAATGTATGAAGCTTGACAAAGTGTAGTTCCTTAGTTGATTGAATAAGAATAGCATCACATCATTATATTTAATTACTCTTATGTATCAGAATGTGTTTGTTAAATCTCATAATGAAATACTATGTAAGGTATTTCCATTTTTAAATGTGTACCAGAATTTTTTTTTTATTTCAGAAAAGCTCTGAATGTTGAATGTATGTAATTCTCCAGGAATGTAACAAGTTGATAAAAACCACAGCCAAGTCCATCCTCCTTACAGAGAAAAAAAAAAACCCCAACAAAAAACCAAAAAAAAGCTGGAATTTCTCTTTTGGATATTTGTTTTGCAGCATTCTACGTCTTAAGGCAGAGAATAGCCAGCCTAAGGTGCCAGCCCAAAGGTTAGCTGAACATATTTCTTGAAATACTTTTGGCAAGTTTATGACTTGGAGTTATGGCCTTGAAGTCATAAGTTTACATGAAAATTTTAATATGTGACAAGAAGATAATTTTTTGTTGTTTTTCATTTTTTTAACCATTTGATTTGGGGAAGATGAGGGGGGAAAGAAATTAACAGGGCTATTTTATCCCAGACGCCTATACAATGATACACTTATTTTCTAAAATATGACACTTCTTCCCTTTTCGCTTCTTTTGTTTATTTTACCCTCAAGCCCTGTGCAGTATTTTTCTGTTTCTGCAAATTGTTTGTACTACCAGCAATGCATTTACAAGCTGTCAGACCTAGGAGGCCTAATTTGCTTTCATGGCACTGAGTCATGTGCAGTGAGAGGTTATTTTGGGATGGCTGAGGCACTTATTGCCCCCCACTGCCTGCTTTGCACTTCCACTACATGTTCTCCTTCCCAGAACAGGGAAACTTTACAGCCCTTGGTCTCCAGCAGTGTAGAACCTGGCAAATTAGAGCAAAATGAAATCAACATAGTTTTCTTTGGTACCCAGGGCTGTAGTCTGCTGCTGCTTAGGAACTGATGTGTCTTGTTTGTTCCTGGCTCACTGGGGAGATTCCAGAGGACTGGAAGCTGGCCAATGTGATGCCCTTAAAAAAAAGACTGGATGTAGAACTTGGTGCCATGATTTAGTTGAGGTTTTAGGGCATGGGTTGGACTCGATGATCTTGAAGGTCTCTTCCAACCTAGAGATTCTGTGATTCTGTGCAATTCTGTGATTCTTTTTGTGCTCCCTGTGGCAGAGGTATGAGTCTCAGGGAGGAGCAAAGCACTCAGCCATTCATCTCTCTGTGAAATCAGCTTTGTTACTGATACAGAAGTTACACTGCTGAAGCCAGTGGATGTTTTATATTCGAATAAACAGCATATCAGTAGGACTCAGTTTGTCTTCTGTCACCACACAGAGACACTCATGCTATCCTGTTTCTACCTGTTGGAATTCCGTAGACACATAGAAAAATTCAGGTAACAAACAGGCATTTGAGATGATAAGCATCATTCTGTAAGCAGTTTTAGTGAACCACTTGAAATGCAAACAAGAAGCTTGATAAAGCATGAAATATTTCTTGCTTTTCTAATTTTGCATGTGCTAGATCAGATTTCTGCTGATTTTTAAAAAAGAGTGTTTAAGTGTATAAGCATTAGATTAACTTCTACTGACTTCATGAAATCCTGTTGATTTCAGTGTTACCCATGCTTAAGTTATGCATGCTGTGTAGTGCTGTTCTGAATAGCAAGGCATTCATAAACCAGGGTATTGATTTGTCTGTGTGGTTTAGAAACACATTTGGCAGCAGTCATAGCCAAGCCAAGAACTCACTGCAGTGAATGGCCCACACTGCTTGCAGTTTGTCACGTTAATGTGCTGTTACCAGGATCACAAGTGCAAACTGAATAACTGATTTACTCAGGCAAGTGTTGGAGTTGTGCATGAAAAATAAGGAGCCACTTAGTGGAATGTATGTTTCAGATAAAAGACTTAACGTTTTGACAACATGAATGTCACAAATAAGGGCAAATAATTTCTGAAAAAAATATTCAGGCATTAGGTACTACCATTTTGTCCGATGTTATTGTCAGTTTCTAGTTACAGAAGCTGGTCAAGGACATTTATTATCTTCCCCAAAAAAACAGAGTAAGAATTGTTGCGCGATGAAATTATCTGAAAATTAATACCCAGTTGTCCTAGTCAGGCTTATTAATCTCAGGAGAGATATACTAATTCACTTATTTGGGAAGCAAAGTCACTTTTTCAGAAGTAATTCCCTAATGTGAGTTATGGGTATGATGTGTTTTTACCACCTTCTAGTAACTTTGAGGTGGGATAAGCTTTATGTGTTCTCTTGCAGTTGTGAGTAACTGAAGTATGTAGTTGAAGAAAAAAGAAGTATGCAACTCTGAAAGATCTTCAGTGTTTTATTTTACAAACTAGTTCCTACCTTTGGGATCCTAGATCAAAATTACTGTGAATAAGGCAGTCTCGTTTTCCTGAGCATGTTTATTGATGGCAGAATTTACAAAGAATTCCAAAAAGCAAACAGAGAGAGATATGTGAGCTGCAGCTGACTCTGAGGGAGAGAAGTATTGTGGAACTTGTTGTTGTGGTCTGTGAGCACTACAGGAGGAAGGCACCCCAGTTCAGGGGGAGGAGGCAGCCTAGAGGAAAGTTCCTTTCACCTACATGCAAGTCTTGTTAGAAAGCTGGCACTGGGGGGAATGTAAGAGACGATCTGAAGATGGGAAATGTGTTCTGCAATCAGCAGTTTAAGGGGATCTAATGAAGTTTTGTGAAGGTGAACACTCTCTGTAATCATTTCTGGGCTGCTGCACAAATTACTTGCTGTGCCTGAGCAAATTGAATTTTAAGGAGCTGGGATCTGGAGTCATAATAAATAGGGGCCTGTCTGTTACTTGGGAAGAGAGGGCAGAAACAAGGCCATTCAGGCAGATGGCTGGCATAGTTTGTTTCAGATGCAGGTGTTTCTGTGCATAATTTTAGACTTCAGAGAGATGAAAAAGAAGTTCAGAAATTGGGAGGCAAAGCAGAAAAAAAGAATGTAAGAATTATACTCAATGCTGTTTTAATGAAAAACATAGCTAGGAGTCTTGGAAAACCAAAGAGAATTTTAATTGCTAGAGAAAATAGCATTAAGAAAGCTCATGGATTTCCATTGTTGGCCACAAATGAAGAGGAATTAATCAGGTGGGAACCAGGCAGTGAAGTCTTCTGGTTAGCACTCCACCAAACAGTGTTTGGTAGTCAATAAAGATATCATTAATGTTAAAGTTCTAGAAGAGAAGGAATAGAGGGGACAGGTGGTAGTCACCCATGCCCTCAAAAGTGCGCAGCTTAGTGCAGAGGATCTGACCGAGTCTGAGGGGTTCTTCCAAAGCAGTTGTGAGGGAGCTGTATGCAGTGAGAAAATACAGATGACATGAAAACATCCCCCAGCATTACAGACCCATAATGAATTTGTTGAATGTGCTTTTCATTTGTTGTATTTGTGCAGCAATTAAAAAATTGTAATTCAGAATGACTGAGTAATGCTTGGATAACACCAACAGCAAGGAGTGGTGGCTTCTGGCTTTTGCATGAGCATAACGCGTGCTAGCAGCATGTGCATTTCACCAGAAATTCTCTCTTCCACTCTCCCACACTTGAAAAAAAGAAAAAAGCAAACAACCCATCATAAACCCAAACCACCCATTCACATTTCAATTCCTAGTGTTATTTTTACAGGAAGTTTAATTTGTCCTGAAGTTAAAGTGAGACTTAAAACATGGTATTTGTCACCTTATTTTGGAGGAAAAAGGTAGTTCTTGCCAACCTTGAAAATAGTTCCTCAGATTTATGGCCAAATAAAGGACCCTAGGATACCTCCTTGAAGTTAGTGGGAACTGAGAGCAAATCTTCACATCTGACCCAAGAAAAAAGCATTTAAAATGATCCAACTGAAGTGAATAATCATGAGACCAGAGGGTTTTTTTGCTGATTATCTCTTGAATGAATTGGTCAATAAAGTGAAAAGGAAAGTTTAGTTATAATTTGTTCTATGGCACAGATTAAAAAGCAAGACTTGACTAAAGATGAAAATTGCTTTTCCTAGGTTTTTTTTCTGTTCATGTCAATCCACTTTCCTACCCAATGGGAGTTCAGCTTAACAGCTTTTAGAGAGTAATCCTTGGAGATGTGGTAGGTCTGCTTTGATGCTGATTCAACAGTAAATTAGCAGTCTCATTTTGAGTGGCACTTGTCTATGCCAGTATAATTTTAACTTTTGTTTACAGCAGTTACTATTATAAAGAGTAGGAAGGTTTTACTGATTTTTGGCAGCCCTTTTCAGACCCTTCTGCACTTCTCTGCTCTATGTTCGTAAGTGACTGACTTTCTCAGCCTGATGTAGCCCTTCTGTCTACATTTCCTTCTTCCCTAGTAGGGAAGCAAGTGTTACATAACAGGCTGAAATCCAGGGACATGGGTTGTTTCAGTCATTGTAAATGTGGGTCCCTTGGAAGGAAATAATGGTTTATTGGTGTGGAGGAACTCTTAAATTCTCAAGAGGCAAAAAGTAGTAATTGGGAGACTTTTTTTCTCCATTACTTGTGAGTCTACTTGTTTTCAAAAAAGTGCAGAAACTCCATTTGTCTGTGTGTGAACAGAGTGACGGAAGTATTCTGTTCTGTTGTATCTGGAGCTTTGCAGGAAAACAAGCAGAGTGGAGAATTAAAGCACCCAGTCACATCAGCACACGTAGGGTATGCTCTGACTCATGCCAAACAGCTGAAATAGTTGTCTGCTATTAAAAGAAAGGCTGAAAGTCTGGCTTAAGCTTATTTTTGTACCTGCATCTGGTTGTTGCCAGTGTTCAAATAGAGCTCGTTGGGAGTCAGTGAGTGGATTTACTGCCTTGTATGGGCAGCTTCTCCTTTGAATAAGGATTTTCATGCTGGAGATGGCAGGGCTGGAGCTGACCCACCCCTCTGGGCCTGGTCACTCTGGTAGGGGTCAGTAGGGACCCCAGCCAGGGATGCAGACTTGGCTGAACCATCTGATTCTTTAGTCCTGAGCACCCTGCTAAGCCCTCAATAAAGTTAATAGGAAGATGCACAAGTTTTATCCTGTGGGTGGCTTGATTCCTCATAGGAAATGCCATCAGATTTATCTGTGGTGTTGGCTGACCTACAGATGTTGTTAAGCCTACTGCAACGCATTTTTCTCCTGTATAAAGAAATTCTTCTGTTGTAATACTCTGTTGAATTTCAGCTGTGTCTAAATAAGATTTGTAATGCTGAAGTAGCCCAAGTTCATAGAATGTACTCTAATAAACAGGTTTTCCTCAAGAACCATGTTTGGCAGCAAACAAAGTTTTCCAAATACCCACTTAATGTGCAAAACCCCCAGTGTTTTATGATGACTGATTTTATGGACAGTGGTTTGCTAATTATTTGGAAGCTTTCCTTGGAATAATAGAGATTTTTTTCTTCAAGTATGAGAATTTTTTTTTCTCTATCTGAGCTGCTGCTAATGTACAATCTGTACAATTGAGGGAGGGACCAAGGCATAAAAAATTCAGCTAAAACTAAAGTTGCCACAGGTTCTTCTAGCAGTTACTGAACTGTTACACTTTACACCAAAGTGATCCCATGGTACTTCTTGTTTCTTAAAAAGAACTGATTTAAATAAGTGTATCCCACTTCACAATACAGATCTTCTATAAAGGGCAATTGAAAATTCAAGCAAGTTTCCAAAGCATATTTATAGTGATTTCTTTTCTTTACTGCAGTTTAGATCACAACTTTTGTTTTTCCCTGGTTGCTTTGAAGTCATTAAGTTGGTCTTCATAGTTCTCAGTTTGCCACCAACACCTCTGATTGGACCTGGGTCTGTGATGTCAGGAAGACAAGAATCCCAGCATCTAAATGAACTCTTAACAAAGGAAATCCTTTTTTCCTGTTTATGGCCATAGTGGTTAAAAGAGCAGTAAGTGTTTCCAAGTACAGTGTTCTACAAGTGTCTCATGGGGGATCAGATGCTCTCCAGTCAGACCTGTCCATACCCAAGGACATACTCCCTGGAGCAAACCCTTTTAGTGGTCTGGGAAGCTCCTTTCCCTTACATTCCATTGAGAGGTGTTTCTAAATATGAACTTCATTTCTTTGTTTCCAGACAGTGTTTGTTGGGAGAAAAAAAAAAAAAAAAATTAAAAAATCTTGCATTTCTGTTGCCTTTTAAGATACTCCTTAACAATTGTTTGGAAAGAGACTTCACCACCATACTAGGAAGATGCATCAGGAGCAGAGCTGTAGATTTAAAACAAGGTTTTATGGTTTCAGGATTTATCACTTATTATACATATATACTATGCTTAAACAAAAAAACATGCCTGATAATAATGGGAGACCTGAAACAGTCCTAAATAAAGGCAGGCCTAAAACTGGAGCAAACTCCTTCTATGCTAAGAGTTGCTTCTCTGGATGTATTTGTGGGAATTGCCAGTTCCGGATGCTTTGAATCTCATGGAGAAGATTGTCAGAACATTAAAGATGTATTTGCATGGTTCTTCCACAACCAAAACAAATATCTTGTTTCTTTTGTTTCATTTCACCCTGCTGAACAGCTTGGCTAGAAGGCAAATTACATTTTTGAGTGCATTCTGCAAGATTTCTGTTAAATTATGTCCTTGATATATCCAGTTTTATGATACAGCCTGTTGTTGTCAGGTTAATGTTGCGGCTGGATCTGGTTAGTTACTTGCAAATTCCAAATGATACTGTTACTTTATAAAATGAACTTGAAGCCGGGGTAAATAGATAAATCCTGGTTACAGGCTATTCAAGTTATGCTACCATCTGATTTCTGTCTATTTTGTGTCTATCTTGCTTTAGCAGAGAGCTCAGCGGGATTGTGTATCTGCATTTTGTCATATAATGATAAACAACATCTTAGAGCATAGTAAATACTGCATTTTTCCAGTAGGTTTAAAAAGTTGGTTTAATAATAGAAAAACATTTCTAATGCAAAAGACTTAGAAATGCTGTTTAAAATTTACATCTGTCAAATGTTTTCAGTTGCCCAGGAAAATATTCCTGTTGGCTAGTCCTACATCAGCAAAAATGTATTTGTGCATGAATTCTTATATTTTTTCAAAAGCAATGCTTTTGTTATTGAAGATTTGAAAGCTTGTTTTATGAATTTTGTTTGTGTCATATTGACAGAGATGCCAAAAATGGCTTTCTATTATTTCTTGGAGTTCTGTATTTATTTTCTGAATATAACATACACACTACTTCTATTTGTTAGGTAGTTGCTGTTTATTTCAAAGTAATTTGAAATAATTAAAATATTAAAATTATTGAAATATTCAATAATTTCAAGCACAGTCAGCTGTGACTGGAGTGGAAAGATAATGAGTATTCCTCTATTTGCAGCTATATGCCAGCCAGGGTGCAAACACGGTGAATGCATTGGGCCAAACAAGTGTAAGTGCCACCCAGGATACACTGGAAAAACCTGCAACCAAGGTAAGAAAGAATTTATTTTTGAAATCATGGAAGGATTGTTGATCTCTGTACCCACCCCCACCAATGCTCTTTGTGTCCCCCATGTTTATGGAGTGATGAACTCATATACCAGGTCTGTTCCTGCTGCAGCAAGTCTGATATTTGGAATGAAAGTTGTAGAGAGATTGACATCTTCAGTGGAATGACACAGGGGAAAAATTGCTTTCATTCAGAAGAAATCAATGAGATTAATATATAGGATGTAGTTACCTGTTTTCCTTAATCAGAAGCAAATCATTTAAACCTTATGGTCAGGATTGTTTTTTGTAAAGTCACAATTTTCAGATTTGAATAGTGAAATAATATTTGTTTCATTAAAAATCTCATAATTAATGCATTCTCATTTTAGTGTTCTTAATCCTGAACTAAGTTGCATTAAACTATTAAAAGGTTGGTGTAAAGATGAAGTTTCTCTTACTGAATTATCAAGTTTCATTGTTTGGGGTTTTTTTCTCTAAAGTTATGTCCAAAACATGTACTAGTATAAATATCATAAACAATTAGAGAATTGTAGTATGTGATTTTTAGACTTTGATGGCTAGGACATGTTCACACACAAAGATGTCTCAAATATATCTCTTTTGCAGTTGTCTCTGCCTACAGGAAAATTTGTGCATTTTCTGAGTGCTGAGGAAAGTATGCTAGAAAAATGTGATGTTTAGAATGATTTTCTTCTTTAAGGATGTACTCTGATGTTGCTGAATTTCTTATGGCATGTTGATTTTTAGACTGAATTATTTTCTTTAAAAATAGATACGTATTTATTATCAGATTTACTAATCCTTCTCAAACTGATGTAAAAATGTGTGTTGTGTTTTTCAGTTTTCTCAAAAGTTTCTGTCATCTCTTATGTTATCCTGTCTTTTTTTCCCCCTTACTCTGGTTTGACATTTTAAAGGATGTGTTGTTATAATTTTATTCTACGTGTTTTCGTCAGTCCAAAACTGTTTTAGAAAACAGTGCAGTGAACTAATAGTTAGATATATGTGTAACAGTTTTTATAGGTAGTAAATAGTTTAACAATATTGAAATAATGCTTTGCAAATTGCTGGAGGCTTCCATCTTGAACTAAATTATTTACTTGCCACCAAATGCTAGAGATGGAAAAATGTGATGGGTTATCAAAGGAAGCACTTTGGGCAGTGTTGATGAAACATTCTTGCCTGGTGTTGGTGACAAAGCTGGCCTGGCAGATGCAGATGAGGTTTCTGAGATGCCAGCTGGCAGTGGTGCCCCAGCGTGCACCAGTTCAGGCGGCTGCTGCTCTACTGCGTGGTGAGACCCTTGAGCTCTTCCTGGGGTCATGATCTGCGTTCTTGCTGTGTGCTGATTCAGTGTTTGGATGAGACTGGAAAGTGTGCAGTGAATGCAGAGTCTGCTTTTGCTGGGAGGAGATTCAAATGGCACAGGATAAATGTGACCTGTGTCATTATACCTTAATACAGCACCTGCCCTGTTGAGCCTGTGGCCTATTTTCTCAATTCTGTTCTAGAATAGTAAGAACTATTCTATACTTCTAGAGCCATACTTCTAGAACAGAAATAACAATGTTGGCAGAGGAGATGTTGGAGTTCCCTGCAGAGATGGAAGTGTTTCCAGCATGTGTGAATCTGGGCTGTGAAGTATGCTCATATTCTTGGTGAAAGGCGTTCTTTGCGTACAAGCTCTGACAAACAGGCTCTACATCTCATCTGGTCGTGTGCCCCATGGATCAGGCTGTGCTCCTGGGACTGATCCAGGAGATCAGCCCAGCCTCACAGCAGAGCTGTTCAGCCCTGACTGTGTGATGATGCTGGATGCTTGTCCTTTCCCAGTGCTACTGCAGCTGCTGTGACAATCCATACCTTGCTTTAGATCACTCAGAAGTTAAGACTACCTGATTCTTTTTAAATTATGTTGCTATCCTCAGCAATCAAATTGCAATGACTGCACAAGAGCTAACCATGTGTTCTCCCTACAGCATTCATATCTCCTGGATGGCTTTATTGTTTTCCTTCTGGCTTTTTGATCCCAGCTTTACAGCTGTAAGCAGCGGAAAAACAGAGCCACGTGAGAGAAAATGCCCTCTTCCACCTCTCTTAATTTATAGTGATAATAACAGAGCTCATACTTTCCAAATATGTTCATCAGAAAGTTGGTAGCTGCTCTTGAAGAAAAAACAAATAATATTCAGTAAACAAACAGTTGTAATTTTTGCTAGCAATCTAAGGCACATACATGTTAACTTTATTTGGCTGGGAAGGGTTGTCTTTATAAAAAATAAATATAAGGCTTCTTTTCTGTAACTTTGTTTTCTTACCTTGCTTGTTCTAGGAAAATGATGCAAAGTTCACTGCTTGAAATTCTTGTCAGCACTTGATATATATGTATATTTATTAAGGGAAGTAATGCATGTTGCCATATTTTTATTATGCCTTCTCCCTATCGTGTGAAGATGTGCAGTGCACACAAGTCTATTTGGTCAGGGCAGTGAAGCTCTTTTGTTGCACCCCCTGGGTCATCCTGCAGGAAATGTAGCAGCGAGGGGTAAGTTGCTCCTGTGTTTTAGGTGTTGTGCTCCTCCTTTCTGCAGGCTTCAAACAGGAGTGCAATTTCCTGCAAAGGGAATGGAGGCTGATAGACCCATCAGTGGCTGGGATGTGAAAGCTGAACCTGCAGTGCCCTTAGCATGCAGAGCAAATAATTGGTTGTATTTCCTTGGTGCTCCTGTGTGTATTCAGAAAAGTTTTGCCTCTGCCATACTCATGGTTGTCACTTGCATTGTTTCTTTCCTCTGCTCTTCTTTCAGAGCCTGCCTTTTTTTCTTTTCTGATTTCCTGTGTAAAGTGATGGTGATGGAAATTGTTTATCAGGTTAGATAAAGACAAAACTGTAATCTAGATGAAGTTGTAAGTTGTAAAAAGGAGAGCTAAAAAAGCTCAATTTGGCAGCTGTTGATTAATCAGACTTAGTGAACAGAACTGTTCAGGTGATAGAAATCTCTTATGAGGCTGACATAGTACTGTGATTGCAACTGCTGGCAATGAAAGCTGATCTACTGTTTCTAATATGGTGATAACAGTTTAATTTTTCTGCTTGATTTCTGGTCCTTGGCTTTCTATTTTCAGAGTTGGGTAAATGTAGTATTGACTATTTAACTTCAGTGTTGCCTGATCCAAGTTACGTGATAGGCAGAAAAAGTCTTGAGTGCTGAAGTCTGCAGAAGCTAATTAAAAGAAAATAGCAGAGGGCATTGAATCTGCTTAGAAATAAGTGGCCCATTGTTGGGTGTGCACTGAAGTTGGTCCAAGACCATGCATGGTGCAGCGCAGCAGGCAAAGGAGTCACATCCAGGTTTGTCAGCATAACGCTCTGTCCTTCCCTTGCACTCACATTTCATTTAATCCCTTTAGATATAAAACACCTGTGCTCAGCAGCTTGTGTTTGTTATAAACCTGCTTCCCATAGTGGCCAAAACAGTCAGTCTGCTTTTATGTACTCTGCTGCCTTGTGTTACTTTGAAATCAAGAGTGTGGTTTTGCGTTGGCTATGCAGTTGTAGGCAACATGGGAAATTAAAATATTGAAAAATGAAATTCTCAAATGCAGGACAATGAGTGGACATTCCCACAAAGAAATTAAAAGGTCTTGTTTAATTTTTAAAAGTGTGTTGCACTTTATACTTATCTCACACTATATTACTAATGAGTGTCTTTTTGTCAGTACCAGAGCTTTCATTTCTGTACTAGGAATACTTTGTGTCAAGTGGTGGTGTAGAATTCAGAGTCCTGTGGAAGGATCCAGTACTTTAAGGCTCATATTGTAATTTATACTCTATGCAGGGTAATATACTGAGAACAGTCGTAAATTCTTATTTTCAACTTTGAGTCTGTGGTCATAACTCTGGAAGTAAGTGCACGACAGCTCTTTAGTAGTCAGGAGTGTCTAAACTTAGGAGCTGAAGTGCAGTGGAATTCAAACACTAGAACTTAACAAAAGGCACTGTTCAAATCCTGCCTTGTCAACTTAATTTCAGTGTTACTTTTCCTTATTCTGTCCCTACTTCTAGTTAAGTATTTTATACCTAGCTCTGTTATGCCTTTATTTTGTAAAGTGATTATTTTTGTAGAAAACAGGGAGAATACAGATACTTTAGACTAAGGGAACTTTTTTTCCCCTCTTACTTCAAAATGATGGTTGTCAGTGAACTTCAGTATATTCAGTACTATGGGTTCCTTAGGGATACATTTATGAATTGAAATCAAATGCTAACAGTTTTTGAATGTAACAATGACTTTTTTAACAGACACATTGCATGTGTAATAAATATGTTAATAGAACTATAATGTCTGTCAGGAACTGCCCACTTCAGGTGTGCTTTACAGAAAAAAGAAAAAACAATACTTTTTGTGCTGCCAAGAGAAGTTTGCCTTTCAAAACATGAACTTTCATCTGCTTATTATTGGAGATTTTTATGTAGACCTTTTTTTCACACAAAGGTTTTCAAAATGAAAACTTGTCCTTGCCCTGTAGCATAATCATCTGCTGCATTTCCATTTGGCCTAGGCATATAGCTATAATCACAACTCCCAGCAGAAGACCCTGCTTTCACAGGACAAAATGTGCTTTCTTCTACAGCTGTTTCTCTCAAATCCAGAAGATGCTTTCTTAGGAGTGTGGCATTGGTGCCTGCCGTGAGAAGTATATTCTCCTTGCAGCTGTTCAAACTTTTTCCCACTCCCAAAGAGTGAGAGCTGAAAAGGGATGCTGTCTCTGCAGCGTGTGGTCCCCAGGAAGATGGCAGAGGTGGTCATCGCTGCTCCTTTATCATGCACAGGTCCTGCCCTTATTTTGGCAATCTTTCCTCTCCGAAGTCCTGCTTAGGCTCACCTGATCTTCCTCACCACTTGAGGAGAAAATATTCCCCTTCAGGTTTCCTGGAAACATCTTGTCCAGCCTTAACAGGTAGAAATGGAAAACCACATCCCTTACCGCTACCCTCTTGCAGAAGAGGGGAGCAGGAAGTAATCTTGTCCTTAAATATGCTGCTCTTCCTGAGACCTTGGAAAATGAACTAAGGGGAAAGGTTCTGGGAGGGCTATGTCTGCATGATGCTCGGTATTCCTTGACCCCATGAAGATGGAAACAAAGTAGGTCAGAAGACAGCAAGTTTAATGATACATGTAAACACACTTAGGAGCTCTCAGGAGCAGCAGTGACAAAACAGGCAACATCCTCGCAGCTGAGTTTGGATTACATCGGTGACCTGTAGTGTGATGCGTGTATTTTTCTCTTGATGTCTCTGCATTTTACCAGTCAAATTAAAGGGAATATATTTCTCAGTTTTAGAATGCCATTTAAAAATATTTTGCCTGAAAAGAGTGGGATGAAGAATGTTACTCTCACAAACCAGTGGATTACAGAGTTTCAGGACAAATTTATAATCCAGACATTAAGAACTTTTAAAACTCCAGGTGTAGTTGTCTAGAATCAATGTTTTCTCTAACTTCACCTCTACAGTGAATGTAACTTTTTTCACTCCATTTACTACATAGACCCAATTAAGTTTTCTGAAAAGCAGTCAATAAATTCACTGCAGCCAGAGGTGTATTTATCTTTCCGGATCAGCATCTTAACCCTGAGCTTTTTCCTCTAGTCCACAGGAGGCATCTGTCACCTCCTCAGCTGGCATTTTGTGAAGCGGCTACTGTGTGTGTATCTATGACATGATGGGAGCCTCAAGGCTTACTTTTCTGCTACATGGATTGAGTGACACTTGAAATGATGGTGCCCCTGGGAGATGGCTCTTGGAAAATTTCTGGAAAAAATGGCAATTCTCTGTCTGCAAAAGACCGCCAGACAGCATGGTGCAATATTAGAGATGATGGTTGATAATTCATTTTCTTAGGTCCTCCCTGGCTGGATTTATGAATAGATTTATTATTTTCATCTTTGTTCATCACTGTGCAAATAAATAGCAGCAATAATAAGTGACAAAGTATTCTGGCTTACTCAGACAAAATCAACACATATTCTTGGAAGAGAATTCTGAAAGAAATAATCTTCTTGTTTGAAGTTCTGCCTACTAATATGGAAACTGTAGGCTAAATATTTTCAGTTCAAGCCATGAATTTTCTGTTAAATTGTAAGTCTGAAATGCTAGCCCTCATGGATGGTCCTTGACAAATACAGTTGGTGTCAGGTTCTTTGAGAATTTTCTAAATGATAAGGATTAAATTTTCTCTGTGAGATTATTTGAAGTAAGTTGGCATCAGCTTTCCTACCTTCCTCTGCCACTAATTTTGAAGCATGATAGTGAATCACTGAATTGCTATCGGAATCACTGATAGTGATTGCAGAGTGATGTTTGCTTTCTCTCTCCTCCTTCTTCCGAGTGCTGCCTGGTCCTGGATGTGACATCAATGTGAACAGTGGCAAGATGTGGGCGGCCTGAGCTTTTGTGTTGTCTAGTGAAGCAGCTGGCACTTCATCTAATGCTAATGCTGTCATTTTTGAAAAGACATCTATGACACCAAGCCAAATAAGCTGCTTGCCTGGAGGGATGAACAGCGCTTCGTGCAGGATGCTTTGGACGCTTGCTATCAGCTGAGCTGCGTATAAAAAGCTAATTGCCGTATTTTCCCTTCCTTCTCCAGCAGCGTGAACTGGCAGTTTTGCCACGCATGCCTTGTGTGTTTTCTACTCCCACCCTCTTCCCTTGTGCCCTTCATTTCAGATCTGAATGAGTGTGGACTAAAGCCGCGGCCGTGCAAGCACCGGTGTATGAACACGTACGGCAGCTACAAGTGCTACTGCCTGAACGGCTACATGCTAATGCCAGATGGAACGTGCTCAAGTACGGCCAGCCTCGGTGCTTGCTCTTTCCCAGCTTCTCAGAATCCCTGCTGGAGTTTTCCTGGACAACTTCTATGAAATGAAATTGAGTCCCCAAGTAAAAGATTAATTTTGCTGGAAATTAGGCAGCCATACAAGATGAGCTCTTTTTTTGTTGGTTTTTTTTTTCCTAGTTAAATTAGGCTGAAAAAAGCCAGGAGCAATTGTTTTGATTTTATTAGTTTTATTGAAAGTTTCCCCCAAAGCATTCTTCAGTGCTGTAAATCACTGCTAATTGGCCTTTGAGGACAAGTGCTTGCAGTTTTCATTGCAGCAAGACACCTGCATTTCTGCTGCCTTATGGCCTTATGAATGTAAATCTTTAATGCTGCAGATGTTGGTTGTTTGACTGGTATAAAAATTGTACTGCCATCTCTCCAGGGATCAAGTTCCTACTTGTTCCCATAAAAACAGTTACTTTGAATATCTGGACAGAGGTAAGGGGAGAGAAATTACCTTCAATAAGAGATATCCCGTTTTTAAAATAGCAGTAACTGTCCAGGAGAGTCTGTAGTACATATTAGGCTTTATATTCTAGGGACTGCATTCAATAACAGTACTTACTACAATTGTGGTAGTTTTTTTGGTTTGTTTTTTTGGTTTTTTTTTTTTTTTTTTCTACTTACTACAATTGTGGTAGTTTTTTGGTTTGTTTTTTTGTTTTTTTTTTTTAGTTTTCTTAGAGAAAATTTTGTACACTAGAGAAAATTTTCTTAGTTTGTGGAAAGAAGAATTTTATTAGCAGATGTTTTTCCTCTTTGAACCATACAAGCATTTCCCCACTTTTATCATAAATATGTGATGTCTTAATTCTCCAAAATTTTCATTAATTTTGTAGCACTGATCACAGTGTTTATCTAAATGTGTTCAATTATTTTTCTCCAGATGCCCTTTCCTGCCTGATGGCAAACTGTCAGTATGGCTGTGACGTGCTGAAAGGGGAGGTGCGCTGCCGCTGTCCTTCTCCAGGGCTGCAGCTTGGGCCTGATGGCAGGACTTGTGTCGGTAGGTGATCAGATGTAGATTTAACATTTTTAATTTTTTTTTCTCCAGAATGCTTTTACCCTTGCACAGAATGCAGTTCAAGAGAGTTTGTCAGAGATACTTAGAATGCATAGAACAGGCAGTTTAAAGTTGTTAGTAATAGAACAGTAATAGGGCTGTTGCTCAGGTGCCCTCATGTCAGAGATCGCCAGTGCTTTGCTCCAGTCCTGCAAGTGTCATTGTCTGCCTAAAGCCCATGCAGACTCTTTGGTATCCAAGCCACTTGCCACTTTGGGTCATTTGAAATTATTGCTAACTCCAAAATGCCTGCCTGCATAAAAAAAGGAATGGGGAGATCACCTGTCCCTCATATCCAATGAGTTGGTGTCTAGTTCAGTGGGTAGAGGGATAATTTGTAAAAATCATTGATATTGTAGTGGGGCAAGGTGAAGGTCTGTGCATGTTCCCAGTATTAGTGGAATTGAATGTGCTGTCCTTCTTCCATACTGTGAAAACTCCAGGTTAAAATAAACACAGGAACTTAGAGTGTATAAAAATGTAATGTTTTGTTCCCACATTTGTGAACATGGAAAAGGTGCTTATGGTTAATCAGACTCTGCTATGGTCTGAAGAACAGTGTGCCATGTGATTTCATCAGTCATTAACTATACATCCTGAGTGGGATATGATGCTCCACTGATTTTATTATTTATATTCTATGAAGTGCTACAATTCCATAACCAGTAACACTGAAAGAATATAAGAAAATGGGGATGTCTTAATCTTCCCTTTGGGTATCTTGGCTGTCCACAGGGTAGGTGTTTCTCCAAGTGCCTAACCCATGCTGACCAAAAGTTTTTTGGCAGAGAAAGGGACAGACTCTAGATCTTCTGATGAGAAGAGCAGGATCCACACCAACTCAGAGGCTTTCTGAAGTGCATGATTGGCACATCTGTGTATGGAAAAAATTGGAAAGCACAGGAGGAAAAAACCTACTGTTGTTGCATATTGAAGGGATTGAGTTGTGATAAATCCCGTTGTGGATATTATGGCAAAGAGATCTCTGGAAGATACTTGTGCCATGCCATAGTGAGCTGAATGATTTTAAGTACAAATTCAAGAAAGCTACCCCAAGTAGAGAAATTTGCTAGAAAAACTGCTTGCAACATTCTGCTAGTGTTCATTTTTCTATTCAGGGAAACTTCATACTTTGAAATAGACAAAGTGTACTTTAATGCCAAAGACTAACACTCAAACCAATCCTATGAAGCTCTTTGAGTTCTTCAGTGCAGTTTTCAAAAAAACATTTTTTTTTCCCCAGAAAGGCAAAGAACTGTGTACCCACATTTTAGTTGGTCATCATTCAGAAAGACTTTAAAACCTATTTCTAAAATTTCCACAAGAATTTCAGAGCAGCCTTGTACAATACAGAGCAAATAGTTACAGCAAGAGATGTCTGTTCTTCCTGCATCATAACATAATGTTCTCCCCTTTTTTGGTAAGAAGTGATTATGACATGCACCCTTTCTGTGTTATCTATCAAGTTCAAGTTGCAGTAAATGCCTCAAAGAGTTGAAGCTACCTGGGACTAAGGCTGTGCTTTTCCCTCATGTTTGTACCAGCTTGTCACTGTTGGGGAGGTTGTTGGCTCCAGCGAGGGTCAGGATGATGCTGCAGTACAAATAGAAGTGTGGGTGGTGGTAAGAAAATGGAAATGTGCATTGCCTACAGCTCATGAAATCCTTGTTTGTAGAAAGTCTGAAAGACAGCTGGGAATGCAATGCCTATTTTTAGCACAGGTGGAAATTCCCCTAGGCATTATTCTATTCTTAGTTTAACACTTGCTGAGCATTCCCTTGTTTAAAATGTTCCTTTCAGACAATCAGTAAAGAGCCACCAATTTGGCTTTAAAGGTAAATTGTATAAACTAAATGGCAACAAAGTGAAAAAATAATTCAGCAAAGTATTCAGAGAAAATGTGGATTAAACAGCTAATTAAGTGATTAATGACTCCTGAATCAATAAATCAATTGGTCTTGCCAGGTTTTTGGATTGGGATTTTAATTTAATGAAATGAGCCATATACACATCTTCAAATGTTCTGAAATTATTTGAGGGCTGAAAATAATGATTTTTCACTATAAAATTAATTCTTTCCTTTTTATGTATGTTTAGAAAATTGAAGATACAGCTTTGTAAACTTAAAAATTATGCTATTTTTAAATTAGTCTCAGGTTATTTTGTGCTTGAGTTGGTAATCTGGTCATACTTGCAACAAGAGAGAGAAGCAATTCTGCTTCTCTGGTGGACACTGACCATCCCACTCATTAGGTGCTGATCATCACACTGCCTCGTGTGCCTTTGGAGCAGCTCCCTGGTGCTGAGGTGAGCTCCAGATCCCCCCTCCATTCCCTGCTTTTCATAGGAAGCAGGCATGAACCACAGCATGCTGCAGCAGGCGAAGGGAAGCAGCTCTGCACCTTTTGGTCCAGGCGTGGATTGGCCTGAAAGAAGCCACAGTCACTGCACTGTTTGAGAGCTACAGGGAACTGATCACAAGCACTAGCAGATCATCTTCTGGCTACTGATCAAAAAGTGAATTTCCCCTCAGCAATGAGCATCCATGCACCTCTCATTATATGCTAGTGGAAGGCTCTTACATTTTTCTATATTTTTACATCAGTTTTGAACAGTGTATTAACAGTTCTGTCCGGTATCTCTAGGACACATAACTGCCTACCACTACACTGCTGAAATAATTTCACATAATTTTTGCCTCATGTGAATGTGCAAAAATGTGAATTAAATATGCATATGTACAGAGGAAGAAGCAGGACATGCTACATTAGGTTTTTAAAGATCAAATCCATGCCATGATGAAATACATTCAGTGGCTAATCTTGTTCTTACTGAACTACTTTTTGAAGCTGTGATTTAAAGATTAAAAAACCCAACCAAAACCAACAAAAATCCCAACTAACTCTTAGTAATCAAGAGTCTTAAACTTGCAGCCTTGAAATAATATTTTAATAAAGGATAGAATATTGTGACTTGTTGATTAAATTGTAATAAGAAGCATGGTAGAGTTTGTAAAACTTAGTACCATACTCAAAGTCTAAAATGTTAACAATAAATTCAAATCAAGAGACAGATTTATGGGAAGATTCAGGCTTGTGGAGAGGTGCCCAGTATTGGCCTTGTTTTCTTTTTCATTGAGGCCTTTACTGCACCATTCCAGCAATGCTCCTGATGGAGAGAGAGCAGTCAGGAGGGCCAGGAGTGTGGGAGCTCAGGATTGAATCCCTGCTGTCCTCAGTAATTCTTCATGCAGAGTGGGACAGTGCCAGCAGGAGCTCCTGGGACGACCCACCTGGCCGGCAATTCATGGCTGTAAGTCACTTCTGTTGGCTGTGGGAGCCCAGCTTGGAGAGAAGCTGAAGGTCCATCTCCCCCACCTCAGGTAGCTGCCCTGACTCACTAACCAGCAGCTTGGTGGTAACATTTTTTCTGTGCACTGGAAGAGGCTCTGCCTTGTTCAGGCCTCTTTCACAAGAGCAGCAGGGCATCAATCACTCGGCTTTGTTTTGCACTCTTGACATCGGCAGCTGAAGGGCTCCTTTTGGGAAAAGAGCGGTGTGGAGAGCAAAACCCTGCTTTCCCATAGATCATGAGCCTGATAGAGCTGCAGAGCAAAGGCTTGAACTGTGCCCTGTAGATAACCAGCAAACAGGAGGAGCTGCGTGCGTCAGAAGCAGCCGTGCGTGGCAGGTCTCTACCTCAGTGAGAATTAGTGTTTGAGCACTCAGCAGCCTCGGCTCGGTGTCCAGGGGCTGCAGAGAGAGTGACAGCTTTTGTGTGTCAGCCTGACCTCGTCTGAGAGCTCCCCAGGCAGGGAGAGCAGCAGTGGGTGAGCATCAGCTGCTCCCTGGACATCTGCCTGTGACCCAGAGCTGAACTGGAGGGCACAGCCAGAAGTGCTCAGGAATTACTGCTGGCTGACCAAGGGCCCTTATGAAAAATACTTTGCTATTCTTTAGCTTTCCATTATGTGAAGCCAGTTTCATTTAGACAGCATGTATTGTATTTTAACTGTTATTAAGAATAATACAGTTCCTTTGTTTCCACAGATATTGATGAATGTGCTACTGGGAGGGTTCTCTGCCCACGATTCCGGCACTGCGTCAATACCTTTGGGAGCTACATTTGCAGGTGTCATAAAGGCTTTGACCTGATGTACATTGGAGGCAAATACCAGTGCCATGGTAATAACAAGCTATTTCTCATGTGTGTGTAATAGAGCTGTGTATTTGAAAATTAAATTAATGGCTCAAAGAGGAAGGTTTGTTTATTACGGCTGAAATGTTGAAGCAGGTTGTTTTACACTGAATTGGTATTTTAAGAAAGGGTGGATTATAGAAATAGGCTGTGAAAAAGAAGGCATGTATTTGACCCACTTTCTTGTAGCTGGTTCTTGTGGGGAAGCTAGTGAGGAGAACAGAGCTGATGACTGCAGGAATTCCTTTCCAAAGCCGTTTTTTCCTCAGGGTTCATTGTCTCTGGCAGTTGTAGGCTTGGAGCAGTGTTTGAGCTTTGGCCGTGTCTGAGCTGTAACACTGGTGTGCTCCATAGCATGTCCCAAGATCCAAGATAAGAAAATGTGCACACCCTACCTCCTCCCAGCCCAGACTGCCCAACTTTCCTTCCCCTGCAGACAGGTGGGGAAGAGGCAGGAGTTGGGAAATAACCTGTTTTTGTCTGGACTTGAGACTGGAATGCAGCTGGTGTGTGCCCTTCAACAAAGATATTCCCAGGTCTCTCTGCCTTAGTTTCACAGGGTCTCAACCGATTATGATTCTTTCACTAAAAAAAGATAATTTGGAGATAATGAGGCATTGCTTTATGTTTGCTTAAGTATTTTTTTTTCAGAGAAATTTGTATTCAGAGCACTGGAATTTGGAGATTTTTGCTTGCATCACTGACAATAAATGTGGATATGGCATATGAAACATTTCCAGCAGTTTCTACTTGGTGTAGAAACATCTATGTAGATGTACAATATAGGAAGAATTTTATGAAGAAAAACTGATTTAATATCTGTGTGATTAAGAACATGCATATTCCTACACTCAGTTTGTTTTATTCTTATTCTGTCACCTGTAAGAAGTGGTTGTTAAAATTGTGATCTTAATGATCTCAGCTGCAATCTTCCTATGGCATGTCTGAAGCTGATGCTAAGGTAAAAGCTTAGCAATACCAAAGTTGCCCAATAGTCCCTATTTTCCCTAATGTTTGCATCACCACATTGATTTATGACTGTCTGTTTTCCTTTTCCCCCTGGCAAAAGTTTTATTATTATTATTATTTTTAAATAATCAAAATTGTATTAATGTTTGGGTGGTTTTTTTTTGCAGGGATAAGCAGAAAGTCAGGTTTCTATGAAGCAAATGATTTTTTAATGTAAATTTTCTGTTGCAGATATAGATGAATGTTCCCTTGGCCACCACCAGTGTGGTAGTTTTTCACATTGCTACAACACTCCAGGATCCTACAAATGCAAATGTAAAGAAGGGTACAGAGACAATGGAACAAACTGCATACGTATGTAATGTTCCGTTTATAATAGAGATTCTGAAAGCTTCTGTGTCCCATTTTGTAAACTTTAAGGTACAGCTCTGTCAGGCTCAGTTTCTCCTAACTATTTTTAATACTAAATAAGGGGCAGGGGAATGTAGTTAGAGTTTTCTAGGTCTTAGCATGCCTTGTAAAAATATCTTTCCCTGAGACATTTTCATAATTAGAAAGAAATTCACCTCTCCCTATTCCTAGCTTGATTCTAGAGATTGCTTCAGGATGAGAGCAACTGAGTAAGCAGGGTAGGTGTGATCAAACAGTGCACATTACTCATACCCTGTTGTTATGTACACTCCACAACTGGCCCGTTTCAGCAGCTCACCCCATCCACTCCCTGCTGCTTCCCGGATGTGAGAAGAGCCAGGAGGGAGGATTTCACTGGAAGGATTTGCTGTGGGAAAATTCCCTTGGCCACCTTTCTCTTGGAAAAGCAGCCACCCCCTTGGTACAGAATAAGGTGTTGGAGCTCTCCCATATTTGACGTCCCACAGGAGTGTGCAGCTCCTGGATGTGACATTTGCTGGATCTTTTTGATCCTGCATTCCTTTGTGGGATCTGGTGTTTGGTGACTCACTGATCTTTTTAAAGATCAGCACCTTTTTTCCCCTTTGGCTATAGCTGTCATGGTAAAAGGTGTTCTCTCACATCCTGAGTGCTTGCAAGTATATGTGGGCACATTTCATGTCGATTACTGGGACACGGTCCTACAGGGTGTTTTGTATTTTAATATGCCATAAATGTCAAAACTGCAGAGTACTCAAAGGGATAGTAATAAACAAGTGGCTAGAGGGAAAACATTTTTACCTGCTCTCATCAAACAATTCACTGTTTAACAAACAGTAGTTCTTCATTTTAACTGTGTGCTATACTTGAAAAGCTTGTACACAAACTATGTGACTAGAGTTCTTACTGAACCTTATAAGAGCTCCAGTGAGATACAAAAGGCTTATTAACCAATAGAAAACAACAAAACATATTCTTGTGCTTCATGTCTTCAGAAACTTTCCTTGTGAAACTAAGTTTAAATTTGTTGTGCTTTCTGAAACATTGGAGGAGATAGTACTGTGGGCACTGTCACTGGGGTTAAAGTGGTGCTCAGTCCAGCACCTTGTTTTTGTGAAGGTTGAAAAATGTCTTCGTGTCCTGGTGCTTAGCAGAGAGAAGGATCTAAATGAAGGCTGGCTTGGTTCAATTTCTAAAATAATTCTGCTTATTGACAAGGAGAAATGTTTAGAAGGAAAGGTCTGCAAGAACTTTCTTAATCCAAGGTACCTGGCCATCTGTGATCAAAATGCTTGTAACGTCGGGGTCTTACGAAACTTGCTTCCACTCCTGGTTATGAACTTGTCCAGTTTAGAGGGCTGCTTAACCCATGACTTCCTGCCCATGCTTTTTTAACCAGCAAGCTTTTGTGTAAGGTTTGCCAACTCTGAAAAAGGCTTGATGTGGGATGGAAGTGTCTTGACCTTAAGTCATTCTAAATTATCTCTAAACTGCTGCAGTGCCAAGTACGACCTAAAGGGATACGATAATTTAGCAGTGCTGATGCTAAAGTATGTTTCTAACTGATGGAAACCTTCAGAGGAAAAAAAAATTATTTCATGTGTCTCTGTGTCACAGTGAAATAGATTGTTAAGTTTCTGGAGTGAGAGGCTGAGATGTCCATTTTGGTCCCATTTTGATTCTCTTTGCAGTTATTCCTATTGTTCTGATTGAACCACCTGGTCCTTATCACATATTCAAGGCCAGTTGCACTCTCCCTGAGGGAGGCAGTGTAGAATGAGCAGGATTGTTGATGCTGAAGGCACAACTCCTCAGACCACTGCATGTACCTGCTTTTGTTACAGAAAGGCCAGTGACCAGGCCGACAGCTCGTCCGACACCTGGGCCAACAACTCATCCTGCACCCATGCCAACAACTCGTCCAACACCCATGCCAACAACTCGTCCAACACCCATGCCAACAACTCGTCCAACACCTGGGCCAACAATTCGTCCTACACCCGTGCCAACAACTCGTCCAACACCTGGGCCAACAATTCGTCCTACACCCGTGCCAACAACTCGTCCTACACCTGTGCCAACTCAACCAGCACCCAGGACAAGTCGAATGACACCCAAGCCAACCACGAGGTACATGCCAGTGACAACAAGGCCGGTCACAACACCAGTGGTGAAGCCTCCACCTCCAACAACACCTCAGCCTACAACAGTGAGACCTACACTACCACCACAAAGAACTCCTCTGGTAACAACTGAAGAGCCTGCACATGTTCCCATTGAAACTACATCTTCCCAAGGAGTTATAGATGACAACAGGATCCAGCCAGATCCTCAGAAACCCCGAGGAGATGTGTTCAGTAAGTAATTTTAGATATGCCTTTGTTTATCAAAGCTGCAGATGAAAGCATGCACTATACTGTTTTGGATTTTTTGGAACACTATACCATTGAGAACAGAGAAAATGGTTATATGGTAAAGCTGCAAAATTAGTTGATTTTATTACCTAACAAAAGTTTGCAACTGAAGTTCTGAATCAATCAATCAAAAAAGTGTTTATTTTTTTCCCCTGAAATTATTGAGTATATTGTCCTGTAGAAGTACTTAGTTATGCTTTCAGATGAAGGTTTTAAGGAAATGAAAGACATTTTATTGAAAAGGATTGAAGTGCAACGTAACTCATAAAGTAGTCAATGGATTTAAATTCAGACTGTTGAGAGTCCCTCCTAAACAAAGTATTACCATAGCTTTAAGAATAGTAAAGAAATGGGATCATGCCTGATAACCTAAAGACCTAAAGACTTCTATGAGACTGTTTTTTGTATGGGTTCAAATAGTCGCAGATGCTCATGACTGAACAATGGGAAAAATGCATAAAAATAGCATAGAGGGTAATTTTCTGGCCTGTGTCTGTGGAAAGGGATACATGAAAAGCTGAAGATAGTAAAGATTCTCGTAGCATGAACGCATGTAACTTTAGGAGCTCCTCTGAAGTCTACAGCACCATTGTGCCAGCTTTAGTGCATACCACAGGAGACATTACTGGCACTTACAGAGCTGTGCATATCTGCCAAGAAATACTCAACACCAGATTTCATCTTTAGTTCTGCGGCTAATTTTAGAGATGGGGAGGGTGTGTTGGATCAGCTCTCCAGCTTGTTGTACAATAAAGCTGCTGAAGCAATGTAGTAGGAGGAAAAGTTTGCTGTCTCAGAGCAGGTGCACAAGCAATGTGGGAGTTTTTTTTCTGGTTTCTTTGGCATCTATGTGGTGATTTCTTGGGCTTTGTTGTTCCAGGTCATTACCCAGTGAAATATTTTGTTCCTTGTAAAAGTGTTTTCTCTGTGACATTTTATCTCTTGTAGACAGTTAGAAAGAGAGTGAAGCTGACAGAAGTTAGAAGGTAAATCCTGGTACTGCTTGGTAGAGTGTTCTTTTGGCTTCATATTCAGTTAAAAATATGGACATTAAGTGAAATTCTAAAAGGAAATATAATGAAGATTTATGAAGCTTAATCTAATGGGACCCAACAGTTAAAAATACAGTTTTGTAGAAGTTATTGTGGACACCAGCATTATGCTTCCCAGGTCTCTGTCTCACGCTGCAGTGTTCTCTGGAATACTAAAGCAGAGGTATAGTTTTCAGCTATTTTCATGAAGTCATAACAATTCTCTGTGTAAAGCTTATTATTTACAATTAGTCTTTCTGTATTATCCCTAGAGGGATTTTGAAGCTAATACTTTTAATACATGTGTTTCACATATAGGAGTTTGGAAAATAGGAAAGTTGGTCTGACTGCAGATTATATTATGGTACATATAACAAACACAGGACATTTGCAAGGTGTTTATCAACTGTTTGTTTAGGTCAGCTGCCACACTGAAGTTTGTGATATATATACATAGCTTCAAAGGCTTCAGTGCAGAGCACAGCAGGACTGAAAGGGTCAAGCACGAGCTGTTCCTGGCCTCAGCAAGTAATACAGGGACAGGGAGTCCTTGGATCAAGTAAACAGATGTCTATCTTAATCCCATGTATTTTTTTTGGGTTACCTGCAAGAGACACACTTGATATTCATGTGTGTGATGTAACTGTATGACTGAAAGCCTATTCCACTTGTGCTCCAGATGATGCTAATAGTGTGATCTTCCGTGAGGGTGTGTCTTTTTTTCTCCTCTCTCTTATCTTTGTCTCTCCTTTCCACTCTGCTTTCTGCTTTGTTTTTCTCTTTTTTCTCTTCTGGACACTTTGAAAGTATCATCTAGGTAGTGGTCATTCTCCTACTTTCTCTCTGTGTAGAAGTGTTTTTGTTGGGAGTGCTCAAAAGCATTTGTTAAGGATTTGAAACTTACAGTTTAGTGCAAAACAGTTCAGTTTCAGAAGAATGTGCTACTTTCTCAAAGAAAGCATTGCTTGTAGAGTAGGGTGTTTCTTGAATCCTGTTACTGAAGAAGTTTTTGGGGAAGAGCAGAAGTTACATTTCCTCATGTGGGACGTTTAAAAAAGCAGGTGGAAAAGTTACAGCCCACATACATTACTACAGTGGGATGCACAGAGCCTGGGTCTGCCTCTCCTCGGTCCTGCACTTGTAAGGATAACACAGAGATACTTGGACATCCCCAGATGCCATCACACCGGGGTTCAGCAGCATGGGAGCATTATGGCAGGTGCTGCATTCCTGGGCATTAGCTGGGCTGCAGCCCTGGCTGCATGAGTGCTCCTGGCCGTGGCAAATGTCAGATGAGGTGCGTTACCTGAAACGCCTTTCACGTTAGCTCACAGATGTGGTGTGCAGCTCGAGTTCAGGCCCTGCTGGCCAGCCCTGCCCCTGCTCCAGGTGTGTGGGAGAGCAGTGCCTGGCTCTGTTTGGCTGCAGCTGCTGGGTGTGAGGCACTGTGAGCTCAGGATGGCAGTGCTCCCACCGAGTGTGAGCCAGAGCCTCTGCAAAATCATTCCTCACAGCCAGACACAATGGTAACAACCGTGGTGTTAAGACAATACACGATTTCAAACTGGAATAACTAGTAACATTTAGCTAACCTTCAACTTGCTTCTTAGCTGCTATGTGGATGTGCCAAGCCCTCCCCACCTCCAAAAACATTTGTGGATTTTTCACTTGCCTCTATATTTCTTCAGGAAAGGGGTGTTTCAAACTATTTCCTTCAGCTTCTTTAAAGCTGTTTCTGTTTTAGTCTCACCTACCTCAGACATTTTTGTAATATTCCTGGGTTGTGGATATGAGCTAAATTTGTTTTACTTATATCAAGCTTCTTTAGGTTCATTTCCTCATATTAGCTGCTTTTCCAGTTGAGGCACAAAGAAGCCAGTTCTCAAAAATTAATTTGCACTTTGGTCCCCATATGCCTGACTGGAAAGGGAAGAAAAAGCCTTGCTCTTTTTCCCTTTGTTTCTCACTAGAGAATACAGGGAGCAGTTAGTAGTCTTGTAACTCTTACTTTCTTGGAAAACAGAGGAGGAAATCGATGTTAGATCCACTCAGGTCATGAACTAGGGTTTAACCTCAGTTTTATAAATCTTCAAAAGAATTTGTGTCATCTTAGGTGTCTGCTTCCTCCTGTGTCTCCAAGAGTTGTTGTATTCCAAAGAGTCACAAAAAGTAGTGTTTTATCACACAGGGACAGGCAAAACCCAGCCTGGAGAGCACTGTACCCAGCAAGCACTGGCAGCTCTGAGCTCCCAGCCATTAGCATCTGCTAAAGACCTCAAAGCTGTGTTTTTCTAGGTTGTCTTGGGATACATGGATATTTCCCTTTCTTTTTTTCCCATGGGGCTCTGCAGCCTTAGCCAGACTTGCAGGAAGCAGCACTGCTTTGCTCTGCCACCGAGTAGGTGATTCTTCTGCCAGGCAATCCATGGCAAAGGAGCCATTGGCTGCTGCACACATGTCCTACACCAAATCCTGGTGCTCTAGGATTGCTCCACATCAGCAAAGGAAACATGCTTGGGGCAAATGGACTTTTTTTTCTGCAAGCATCTCTCAAATTCTAGTTTTTTGTTAGTTAACCTTTTCTTGGGGCACCCTTGGTGACTCCTTGCTCCCTGTTTTCTCCCTTTGTTGTTATATGACCTGCTGTTCCACACACTGAGTCAGCTTGACCTAGGATTTCACTTTAGAGCTCTCTTGAATGTGCTGCTCAACTTAAAATGAGCTGAGGATCAGAGAAATTGCTCTGTTCAGCAGTGACAAAGAGCACAAAAGATAAAATGCTGATAATGTTGTTTAAATCCCTTTGCAATTTTTAAAAGGTATTGGGTTGTTGCTTTTCTTTAGATGCTTTACCCCACTTCTAAAAAAGCCTGCAGTGACTTTGGGGAGATGTTTTTCAGATAACAAAAAATTTGTATTTTTTAACATGGAATTCCTACACTTGGCCTTTGAACCACTTAGTCAGATGCAGACAGTGGAATCTGGCACCAAGGATAATCTTCTCCTGATATGGATATGGGGGGAATGGCAATGAGGGAGGAATGCAGTGATAGCTTAATATTTAACTATTTCAGGACCGATACAAACTATGGTGAAGTACAGAGGAATCTTTTCTAGTTATAAGTCTCTAAGAAATAGAACAAACTTCTCAATAAGATTGTGAATTTCTGTTGCCATTGGGATCTGGATAATAAGCACTAAAAGCATAAACTTAAAGCATAACACTAGATATCAACATAGCAATAACAAACCCCCTTATCTGTATTAAAAGACAGTTCAGCAGTTTTCCTTCTTAGCCCTTAGTGGAGCTGAAAATATTGGAGTTAGGAAATGTTTCTCATAACAGCTATTAAAAATGTAAAGACTGGATTAAAACTGGATTCTTTCTTTTCTCCCTTTCAGTGACTGCACAGTCCTTAGTGCTGTAAGTGCAGTTTTGTGATCCTTGAAGCTGTTAAAACAAGGGAAATAATAAAAGCAAAGAATAGGGGGTTTGTTATTCCTTGATATCATTAGAGTAGCATTATTTTACAACAGTATGTGATTTGTCTTCACTGTTCTGGCAACTTTTAAAATGTATTTGTCTTTATATTTAAGCATTTGCCATAGGTGCTTTGTTCCTGTTGGTACTCTGGAGTTCAGTCATGAAATCTAGGAGCCTTACAAGTCTCACCCTCAATCAATCTTGCAGCAAGTTTAGTCCCCAGATCTGATATGCAAGCTTCTGTACACTCCTTGTTTTAGCTGTGTTTCCCTGAAACCCACTTGGCACTCTGCACCTCCCAAATGGATGTTCATACAAAAGCAGGCAGGTCACTCTGCAGAAAACCTTCCGCAAAGATAAATACCAAGATGTTTGATTTTGGTAAAACTTATTGAGCCTTGGAACTGCCTGAGAAATGCAAGATTGGACTGCAGAGTGGTGGCATGCTGAGACTGTTGTGTCTCCCCTCAAATGTAAATAGTGCTGGAGAGGGTGGCACAGTCCATCAAAGCACTTCCTAAAATAACTCTTACTGAAGAATTTGAATCTGTAGAGTTTTAAGAAATATATCCTGGACACTGTGGGTGTCTGAACAAAAGGGTGAAATGTACCTCTCTGTTGCCTTTTTTTTTTTTTTTTTTTAGCCCAGCATATATCAATATCTTCCCTGGAGGAAAACAGGACTTATTCTTGTTTTCTCAGTTGGACTGACCTCTGGACTACCCTTTTAGCTGTTTTCTACTAGTTGTGTGTGAGATCTCATCACTTGCAGGATTTTTTTTGCAAGTGGGATTTAACAGCTTTCAGTTGTAACTATTCAGTCAAAAAACTTTGTCCTTTTTTGTTGTTGTTTTTAGTGAATGGGAAGCTTAGTCACAATTACTGTGTGGAGTGGAATTGCCCTTACAGTGCTAAATCATTTTTTTCTGTGAACCAGAGAACTGCATTATTAATAGTAATAACAATTACTAATAACATGAAATTGCACTCCATGTCTTGGTTTTGTAACACCAAAACAGCAATTATTTGTTTATTGCAAACAAGCTGGTATATATACATGTACTTTCTTATACTCCCACTCTCAGCAATTAGCAAATAAATTTTAAAAAAAAGCTGTATTGCTTTCCCAAAGGTTAAAAAATCCCAAAAGAATTTCCTCTAATTTAATATTTAATAATCACAGTTATTTAATATTTCCCCCCAGATTTGTGCATCTAAGAAGAAGTTAGCTCATGAACTTTGAGAATATGGTAGTGTGGGTGTATTGGCTCACTCAGAGCTTATAAAACTCTCCAAGTAAAAGAAGCCAAGTTTCTATTTAACAAGCTTTATCAAACCATTGAAGTTAAGTGAAAAGCACACTGATACACTATATAAAGTACACAGAAAGGGCTTGGAAAGCTTGCAGAAAATAATTGTGCCAAATACTTTCTCCCACGATCACCACTGAACATATTGGTTGTCGTGGCAAAAAGAAGTGTACATGTGGGTCCTATTTACAGTCCTGCATCTCTTATGGTAACCCTTGTTTCAAATTGAGTGCACGTTCCTGTAATTAGGTCCAAGCAGTGAAGTGACTGTTAAAGCACTACAACACCTTCTTCCAGAAGTTAGTAAAAAAAGTGTTCAGAAAGGATTCTCAGGGAATTTTTTGAAAAAAAAATTTTTTTGCAGAGCTTTAATTATTGGCAGGTATGTCAACTTTAATTTGGAGAATTCTTGTATGTGTGCACAGATGCAACTCAGGTTTACAGAAAACATCAGTGCATTAGAAGTGGTACTTGAAGAAGTAAACTGAAGTAGTTTAGAAGTTAAGTTCCTAATATTTTTTGCAGTATTTTCCATAAACAAGGACGGTGTCAGACTGGGAAGAGGGTGTGCAGGACATGTACCTTAAAACTGTGACCCCTGAATATCCTACAAACTTTTGAGCACGGCAGAGAGTTTCCTTCATGCTCTTTGCCACAGTGCTCATTTAGAACCTCATTCGGTGCTCATTTAGAACCTGTGGTCTGAGCCTTCGGTGCCTGCTGTGCTGTGCTCAGCAGCTCTGAAGCTGACTTGTTCTCCACAGCACAGAAAACAAACAGTGTCTTCTTCCCTTGGCACAGCCGGAGGTGAGGAAAGGCAAGGTGGTGCTCCCTGGGTGTGCAGCATAAATGTGCCTGTTCACCTGCCCCACCTGCAAAATTCAGGGTGAACAGTGGATTTATGTGCCTGAATATAATATTTGTGCATTGATGTTCTGCAAGGCAATTATTGGCCTAGGTCATGTGGACTGTGCACATTTGTAAGGTTTCTTTCATGTTAAAGCTCGAGGTTTTTAATCACGTAAGCAAAACAGCCCAGGTGAAATGAAGCAGCAAAAATGCTATTTGCAATCAAGGTATCTTTAAAAATTAACAGTCCTCTAATACCCAATAGCCTTAAATCTGAAGCTGTTTTGAGTGTTAATATCCTAGACTGCAAATAGACATAGTCAAAAATCTCCAAAGGACTAAAAAGAAAACAAAAATAAAGGGAGACTTAATGATTCAAATAGTGACTATTATATTTAGGAGTTCATTGGTTTACTACAGATTTTGAGCTTTTTAACTATTTGTTTTTGTTGTATAAAATTTTTATTCAAGACCTCTAGCCTAGAATAGTACTTTAAATTAGAGTTTAGAAAGTACTTACATTAGAGTTTGCTTATTTTGTCCTAATTTCAACATTTTTTTTCTTTTCTGTCTTCTGGCTTCAGAGGAGCTCTTGGAGCAGTGCTATTTTCATGTTGACCTAGTGCAAAAGAAGTTGCTTCTTAACTTTGGATTTGACTTTCTGAAAACAAGAGTCCTTTCAGTTATCTTAATTCTTCGTGTTCTCACTTGTTCTATAGAGACATTAATAGTTATTTTAGCACTGCAAATGGAAAACATGCCAAGTTTTTAAAAGATAAGACGCTTACAAATACCTTAGGTGTCAGAGGTGCCTATAAAATCTGAGGACATGTCTGAAACACATTACTACTGTTATGAATTATGCATTAGACCTGCCTCTGAAAGAGGAATTTTCCAAGACAGCTCTGTTCAGTGCAATCTGTTTATCTCTAGCTGACAGCTGTCCTTCACTCAGGAAACCTGCTGGAAACTTACACAAACTGGCACAGCATCTTCAGAAATACGTGGGAGTCTTTGTAGCCACCTGACTTTGGCAGCCATCACTCCCACAAAGAGCTCATAAATTTCAGGTTATCCTGGATGCTGAATGTGTAATAACCTCTGGGCCTCTTAATCACCAAGAGCTGTTCCTTCTCCTCCAGCTGGGAACAGCAGCTGAAGCACAGGCTGTGCTGGAAAGCAGAAAGTATAATTACAGTTGAATTCCAGCTTCCAATAGAGCTCCTCCTTCTCAACTCCCAATACAACCCTGATAATTGTTTTGGGAGCTCTAATCCTTTGCAGATTGATGGATGTACCTTCAGCTGTATTTCAGAGGTTAAGTGCTCGTGGGGCCTCTTGCAAGTACTGCTGCCTCCTGTCGAGGTTCTCCTGGAAATGTCTGTGGAAGGGTTGTGTGGGGACTTTCCTGTGGCTTTATTTTATTGAGAAACCACTGTCTCTGAAAATGCATTTGGAGAGGAATAGTGTGCTTCAAGGTTAAAGCTTTCCCCCCTGGTTAAAAAGGAGCTTTCATTCAAAGGGCTCTTAGGAGATTTGGAATCACCTTTTACAGTGCTTAGGTAAATGTTACAACACAAATCATAAATCATGTAGGCATAAAGTTTATGAGTCTTTGTGTTGAATATAATGAAATGTATTGCAATCTCCAGGAAAAGCACAATGCCCAGAGCTGCTCTGCTGGTTTTTGTTAGAGCTAAATTAGTGACGTACTTCCTTATCTCATTCATTTTTTTCTCACAGTTCCACGCCAGCCTGGAGTGAGCAATAATCTGTTTGAAATACTTGAAATTGAACGAGGGATTACAGCTGATGAATTTGAAGCAAATGATGACCCAGGTAAAGACCATATCTCCTATTCAGGACCTAGGGTTTATGATTTTTTGAAATTTCTTGGTGGTTTATACATTTTTTAGGACTCCAACATCTTATGCTCCTCTTTTAAACTATGCTTTATAATCCATGTAAAACCAACCTTTCGCCTATATGAACCTTACGCTTTTATCTCCTAAAAATTCAGCACAAAAATAGCATGAATTATTAATAATACAAGGGTCCTTTTTATTGTTTTAGTATTTTTTAGATTCTTTTCCTAGGGCTCCTTCTTCTACATTTAATTTTCATACTTACTTCCTAGTGTCAGCCACATGTGAAATTGAAAACCAAAACAATTTGAATAATTTCTGGGGTTTTTTTGTGACCTCCTGCTCTGTTCTGCCAGGTGTGCTGGTGCACAGCTGTGATTTTGACAGTGGACTGTGTGGATGGATGAAGGACAAAGATGATGACTTGCACTGGGAACCAGTGAGAGATGTGTCAGGTAAGTGATCTGTGTACAATCACATCCTGCAGGTGAAAAACCACCAAGGCTTGAGGTTGATGACAGTTCCTGCTTGAGGATGAATTGCAGAGCTTCTGCTCCCTTTAGTTCTGGGGTATATTTCACACCAATGCCTCTTCTGTGTATAAAAATCAAAATTGAGGATTCTCAATGGGACAGAGCAATTGAAAATTTCTACTTTTATCATGGCATAAAATCATCTTTAAAATAGGAATGTCTCTGAAGGAGTAGTAAATGTAGTCAGCAAAAGTTTGTCTTAAAGGAATCTGAAAAAAATGTGGACTAGAGAACAACTTTTATTTATGGTGAACCAAAGGTTTTTCAAACTACCACGTAAACATAATTATTTCCCTATCACTGGCAAAATTATAGAAGGTACTTCAAATAGTCTTTGTTTTGCTGCCAGATATAATGTTCTAGTTTAACCTCCCAGATTGCTGTAGCTTGGAGTAGAATTTGATAAAATCAATCTGTGTGTAGGAAAAATGTTAAGTAACTGGAAGGCAGACAAATACTGAAGCATAAAGTCTTCTGAAAAAGGTAGTATTTGGGATGATAAAAAGCGACATTACCCCAGACATTAGAGGGGGAGTGTGTAGGACAGGAGACTGGCATCAGCACTGGTGCTCAGCCACAGGAAGAGCCCTTCCCTGTCTCCCAGCTCTGCTGTCCCAGGAAGTGGATGTATTTTGTCCCCTGTTGATTTTGGTGTGGCACTGCGAGGTTGCTGCCTTTGCCTGCCTACCCTTCCCCCATCATTACGGGGATTAGACACACATCCCTGGCTCCCGTAATGATGGGATTACTCCGTGCCCAGGGAGCACCTCTGAAGTGCACAAAGCTCACATGATGCAGGGCTGGCAGCAGCAGGAAGCGCTCAGACAGGACAGTGCTGCAGGTTACGATGAGGAAGGGCGAGGGCACCGAGAGCCTTTTCCCCTCGCACCACGCTGCCAGAGCTGCTGGCGACTGATGGGACAGTCATTTCCCACCGCAGCAGATGACCTGGCACCTTTTCCAGGCTGTTTGGCTGGCTCAGTGGAAGTGCTGTCTTCACTGCCTGGGCAGGGGTCCCCCAAACAGGCTGCTCTGCTACTTCAGGAGCTCCTTGTGACACTTAAAAAAAATTACGCATAATTCATACCTTTCTTTGAAACAATGGATTTAAAAATCCATTTTTCCTAAGTCAGTCACTCAAAGCATATTCATTGTCTGTACTCAGAAATTGTTGTTGTTAATACATACTGAATTCCAGAACTATGATTTTTAACTGGCTCTTTTTTTTGTCAGACTTTTTCTCTGCATTGATTTCCAGTAGTCAGGGACAAGCTCAGCTTTTTATTTCCTGTGTATGTTCTGCTGCTGTTGACATAACCTGTTAAAACTAGTCCCTTGAAGTCACCCACCCCCTCCAGTCTGGAATACCTTGTTGGAAGGATTTATTTTCACAGCTTGTTCCTGGACTGCCTGCTTTCACCTTGCAAAGTTTGCTATGTGTTGGTTTATCAGAATCTGTATTTTGAAAGGTGCTCTGCTGAAGCATTATAAGCTTATCTTGCATGCAGAAAATGCTGATTTGAGGGGACCTTTTCCTGCAGGGGCTTGCCTACAGCTATATTTGCTTTGGGCTTACCTAAATCTGTTTCCTATTGATTGGATTCAGCCACAGTAATTATCTGAAAACGATGCACTTAATAAGTCAGTACTTTCATAGTGGTATAATTGTATCTTCAGCAAACAGGTACAGTTATTTAAACTCTATTATGCTTGTTTTAGCAATTAGAGACCTTGCTGAAAAAGCATTACATTAAAAAAAAAAAAAAAAAAAAAAGGAAGAAGAAAAAAGGAAAAAAAAACCCAGCTCCCTGAGAAAATTCCCACCAAGAGACTTTAAGAGATCCTCGGACAAATGGATCCCACTTCATGGCTAAATGCTGATCTAGGGGCCCAGACAGCAGCATAATACTTTGCTTTGTTAAATCTCATTCAGACTAAAGGACTTAAAAACCTATGTAGAAGTAGTAAATTGGAGACAAAGGTTGGCTTTCCTTTTAAGTGTGTGACAAGCCGTGGTACATTGTAATTAAGTTTTACAGCTTTTCAAGGGAAAACATTGTGACTTTCAAAGAGAAGCTTTCAAAAAAATGCTCTGAGTAGTAGCAGGGACACTATTAAAAATATTTTTCTATCCTGTTTAACTGTGTATGTCAACAATATTACAAACCCCCAATATTTCTAAATCTTTGGTTTTAAGTAAGGAGCCTAAAAATGCCACTTTCTTAATGAACTTAAGGTAGAGGTGGCATTTTTTAGTTTAAAAAAATATGTAAAATCTGATTGCATAAAGAAAATCTATTCTTCATTTCAGTGTAAGATAAGGTTTTTTGTTTTGGTGTTTTTAAAAATTATTTTAACCTTGTTCCCTTTGGTAATTTTAGATTTTAAAGGTTTCACCCACCTTGCAAAAGTTTTAATGAAAAGTACAAACAACTCACACAGGTCTGGCTTTTCTCCAAGATGTGAAATCTCATTTAGTTTAGTTCTGAGTGTCAGTGTGAAAGGTGCCTTTTTTCTTTTGAGGTTTAGTGGATACCTGAGATCCTTAGCTTCTCATGTTCTGAGTGTTTTCTGGAAGGCACTTTTACTGCATACGTGATAAGAGACAACAACAGGGTTTTGAATTGAGTATGGATGTTCACTGACAACTTCCTACTGTTAGAATTTGGGGTTAACAGCCATGTGGAAATCATTACTGCTTCTTGCTTTCTCTAGCTAATCCAGATTAAGTGTTTAATTTACAGTTAAATAAAAGAGGCTATCAGGGTTGCAAATGGATATGCTTTGAGATTTACCCTGTTAACACAGTTCCCAAACAAAAGGAAAGGGACAGAGCCATAGCTTAATTACATGATAGCATTTATTCTGGTCTCTGTTATCTATCCAACAGCAAAACATTGCAGCTTGAAAGGTGCATGCATTTGCACAGTGCTTTAATGTCACTGTGGGTTTAAAATCATGCAGCGACCAAGGGGTTGTCAGAAATGATGAAATACATGAAGTTTTAGTTTTGGAGAGGGAGGTATTGTTTACTTTGTTAAAAAGAAATTAGATGGGCAACACCCAGCCTGGTAGTAATGCATAGAGAAGAGCAGCACTGTCAGTCTTACCCTGTAGGAGGGAGATGCATTAGTTCTGGTTCTTTATGCCTTATTTTACACTTTCTGGACCTTGCTTTACCTTTATTTATTTTTAATAACTCTAATGGATTAAAAACACCAAACAAACCCCCAGCTAACTGCTCTTTCCACTGCAGGGGGACAGTACCTCACCATCTCCGATCCCAAAGGGAAAGAAGGAAGAGTAGCACATCTCATCCTGCCGTTGGGCCACGTGGCTCAGGCTGGAGATTTGTGCCTGTCCTTCAGGCATAAGGTGCCCGGGCTGCATTCTGGTGCCCTGCAAGTCTTTGTGAGGAGGGGCGGTGCTCACGGCCCGGCTGTCTGGGGGAGAAACGGTGGCCATGGCTGGAGACAGACGCACATCACGGTGCCAGGAGCAGGCATCAGGAGCGTAAGTACTGATGCTTGTGCTGCTGTTTGGGCTTTGCATGAAAAAGCAAAAAAAAAACCCAAAAAAAGCCCCACTGCAGTGTTCATCTCATGGGCTCAGTTTCACTCTGTTTTACTGCTTTCATCTCTGCCAATGGAATCACAATACAGAGGAGAGTTATTGTGCATTTTTTAAAATTAGTTTTATGCATACAAAAAAAGAAATCCCAGCTATAGAAATATACTCATAGTATAGGCTACTCTGTCATTTCGTGAGCTACCTGGTACAGCCCATTTTAAGGGAATCAATCACCACCTGGGAAAGAACAGCCTCATGGACAGAGGCATACTCTACAGAGAATTCAAAAAAATGCCTGTGTCAAAATTCCTCATGAGTAATGCTTTGAATAATACAGTGCCATGAAGTAGGAAGAATCATCCCCCTTTGGTTTAGTACTGGCTAAACCAGAGCAAAAATACTGAAAATTAGTAATTTTTGGTGATGCAGGGAGATTACATGTGCAGTCACATATGGTTTTATGTCTTTAGCATGTCTGCAGCTGACCAGGCTGAGGAGGTGAATGATGACCAAACAATGCCCATAACACAAAATGGTTTAGTGCAATCAAAAGAAGCTGCCTGAAGTGCCATGGAGAATCTTTTATTATCTGAAAAGTTTAGAAACATTGTGTGATTAAACTGGTATCAAAAGCTCAATTATTTTTCAACCTCTGAAGGTAGTTTTTATTTCAGATCTGAAAAAGTGGCTTGCGTATTTCAGGACCTGTTTTACTCTGACTTAAATATCAGGTGCTCTGAAAAGCTCACACGTATAATGTTCGTGATGGGAGCAGGCTACAAGACATACACAGTGTCTAGCTCTAAAATGAATAGGAAGGCTGTAATTACTGCAGATAATTTTCTAGAAAATTTACCTCAGCAACAATAGCAAAGACACCTGACTTTGTTAGCTGTAAATCAGTGTCGGACTGAGACTGAGGACATTTGTAACGGGTGAAAAATGTATCTGCGATATTCTTACCCTTTTTCCCCCTGAATTTCTCACTTCTGGCAGTCCCCCTTAGCACTGTCCCTTGCCTCTCCTGACCCCCTGGCAGTAGCTGCAGCATGGGCAGCCAGGGCTGCTGACCTGAACCACTGGGACACTTATCCAAAGATCAGATACTTATCCTCTTAAGTAAGCAGGGAAGGCCTCTGCCAAAGAGAAATCAGGAAGAAATGTGGAAGTTTTCTTTTCTAGCTAATTAAAACCCCAAAGCAACTAAATGGTAGTGATTTTGGAGGGGCCTACTGGAAAAATGAGGAGAATTTGAGCGAAGACTAGAATCATTCATCACACGTTTAATGAATTATCTCTGTGTAATTTTTTTTTCATCCCCCCCGCTCTAATTGTTCTATTTCTCTTTCTAGGTTATTTTCAGAGGTGAGAAAGCGAAAGGAAGAACTGGGGATATTGGACTAGATGATGTGATCTTGAGGAGAGGACGCTGCTCTGGAGAGCATTAGCCAAGACAATGGACCAGCAGTCATCTCCTCTTGCCCTTCTCATGCAATTCCCACAAAACTTTGAAACAGAACTGCATGAAAAAGAAGAAAATGTGGGAGAGCAGCAACTTCTTAGTGGTCTGCTAAGTGCAATCTCATGGAAATTTCACTTAAATACATGGAGAGCACCTCCCAGGATTGAGGAAATCCAGTTTCAGGCTGGTTCTTTCTATTAATCCTTACCCCTAAATCATATATTGTATGTAATAACTTTGTTCCTTGTTAAGTCTGGTGAGTGCTTGTGGAAAGAGCACTGGTGAAAAAGGGAGAATTACTTACAAATGGCAGCAAAAGAAAGCTCCATCTCTAAGTTTGTGCTAACTGACAGCCATTATCATCCCACACTGCTACCCTTCATTGATTAATTTGTGTGAGTCACATTGGATTAGTGAAAGCCTGGACCTGAGCTCTGGCTTACTGCCACTGACCTTTGAAGAAAGGTCTTTCATATATGAAATAGCATTTATTTTGCTGTTGCATCTGTATTAACCAAAACCAGTTAGAGAGAGTAGGCATTGCCTCCTGTAATATTGCTACTGCTGTGTTTTGTGTATATGTGTATGGTTAACATATTTATGTTTTTTAGTATTTACACACTGTAGTTGCAGGGTAATTGGCAGCTGTACTTTGGTTTTGTACAAGACAGGAGTTCAGCATCTTCTTCAATACTGCTGGTCATGCCAAATTATCAAAGTCAGTTAATGGTGCTCGTTGAAAACTGCTGGTGCAGTATTTCATGTGGTAACGTCCTGAAGGCAAAAGACCAAAGGCTCACCTGATGGAAACTGGCATCTGAAAATGCTCCACAAGTTTGCATCAAGCTCACAAGCAAGCCCTAAAGGGTTCTGAATCCTGCAAGAAGCTCCTGGTTCAGCTGAAGCAGCCAGGAGAAGTTGAACTTAGACCTTGTAAGGTTGAGCCCACTGCCCCTGCCAGGAATGATCCCTTCCCACAGGTGGCACAAGGAAAAAGGGCAGCTGTGTTAACACTGTACAAACCCTTCAGACCGTGAAATGCCTCCAGTGCTCTTTGGCAAATGTCCATACTCTGCCCAAACTTCTGTATATAATAAGCATTTTATTCTTTAGAACAACTATTAGCCCTAGTTGGAACTGAGTATTTATCAAAACTTTGGACTAATTTTATAGTTATGTATCATGCATGTGCTGTGCAGTTTCCCAGGGACTTCTTCTGTTTGGTTTGGAATTTTTTAAGTGGGCATCATCATCACTGCTAGCAATTCTAAAATTGACCAAGTAGTTGTAACATTTAAGAAAATGAAAAGAGATTGGTAAAATGTTGTTAGTGGTGCAGCCTTAAAGCTTCAAAAAATACATCTATAAGAAGTCAACCTCAGTTCTTTTGAATACTTAATACAGTATAAAATAAATGTCAGCTGCATGGCATGTTCAGTCTTGTACCAAGTTCACAGACACAAATTTGCAAGACCGTTAGAGGTCATATTCCAAATCCCTGTTCCTGACAAGTCTGAAAATATTTTTTCCCATTCATCCCCTAGGACAAAACATGGTGTGTAGAGCAGAAATGTATGTGATCAAACAGAAAGTCTCCTGCAGAACTGTATCAGCAAATATTTTGAAAAGGAAAAAAGAAATGTGTTTGTAAACATTAAATTTTAAACTATTTTCCTTTGAATATGATTATGATCCTTTTATCTTATGTTATTTTGTGATATGTCAGAAATATCTGTGAATAGTTGAAATACCTTTTCCATATTTTAAAGTAATCAGTAAAAGAGACTGTTACTTGCTACTAACTGGGAATCTTGTTTTCATTTCTAGATAGAAAGTCCCAATTTTCATTGCAGTGAAATGAAACAAAATATGACAATCCAGAGTGAAATAGCTTTTATTTACCAGTATTAAAAACCAAAATACATTTCACTATAATATGAAGAGAGCACTGTAGTTATTATTCAGAAGGAAGAATGGCAATTTCAGTCTCACTGGTAATTTAAGGGCTTCTGCAATATCAGATGTCCATTTTACAAGAAGGAGCAGCTACCACAATTCCTCGCTCTGATTCAACCAGCACAAACTGCTGTTAGATGCCAAGGAATATAAGATTAACACATTTTAGTCTGGTTCGTCGTATTACTACAGGTTTCTGAGATTAAGATTCCCTGGTTAAAATGGAACCCCTGTCAGAGTTTTTTGCCATTTTTACAAATGGTCCCTAGAACCCAGAATCTGGATTAATTCAGAAGGTAGACAGCACTAAGTACTCAGGTGACAGGGGAGGATTCAGGTCTCTGTTTTATTGCTACAATAAAACTTGGACTTGTAAAGCCTTGTGACAGCTGCAGGACGAGACAGGAGTTCAGCAGTGGTTTTGAGCTCTGGGGGAGCTGCTGTGGCTGTAGGTCACTCACCTCCAAAGCTGGTGGTGCTGTGACTCTGCGTGTTGCCTTCTCTCCATGTTTTGGATGGACAAGGTGAGGTCACTCAGAGGTTCTGTTGTGAGGATCCTTCTCCAGTTCTTGCTCTCCAGCAGCTCCCTCCTGCCATACACCTCAGCTAGGACTGCCCTTTCCATATAAGCCTCAAGAAAGGGATGAAAATATGGCCTGAGGTTCTCCTATGATTTAGTAAATAGGTAACAGAAATTCCTGCTTAGATACTTAAGCAAGCAGAAGAAATTACACTAAATTAACATGAAAAAAATTATCAAATTATTAACATCCTGCCAGTTTATAATTGAATGTTTTTAAAAGACATGTTAACTCTTTTCTCCAAAGAGAATGAAAATAAGATTCTTTATAAATGACAGGTACTGGGACCAGTGGCAGTGTGCATTTATGAATTTGCTGACATCAAAGTCAGCAGAATGGAAGGGACCAAGACAAGGCTTTTTAGTTCTAGATTCCATTCTGTACAGATTCCATTCTCTCATCAGAGCCATGCCATTAAATCACTAGTGAGTGATTTTAGTGAAGCCAATTCATTCTGAAGAAAAGCTTCCCTAGGTTTCCTTCAATAAATTACCTGAGACTTGGAGGTCAACATTGGTTTTACCATAGTTGGAGATTACAATAACTGCCCTCATAAAACTCAGGTAGTCATAAGAAGACAATCCTAAACAGGGGAACATTTTTGACAGCAGCCTTCATCATCCTGCTCTGTTCCGCTGGAGAAAAGCTGGCACAGTAGCAGTTGCCTCCAACCCACGTGCCAGGGGGCTCTCTATACACCCCATTAGAAGTTATTCTAATTATATATATATATATATATATGTATATAATATTTCTTATACAAGAAATATCTTATATCTTTATTTATATATAATAATTCTTCATTTCTCCTTGGAAATGAAGCACAGTATTTATCAGAAAGATACCTTGATCTAAAGTGTCTTGATTTTAGCAATGCATTTTTTGTGACACTCACCTTGAAAGCTGTTCAATCTGCCTTTAAAAATTCACAACAAGAAACTAAAACTGTGTTTAAAGTTTTAATTGTGAAGGTTACACATACAGAGTTATTAATTAATAAGAGAGGTCCAATACTATGCAAATTTTTGTTTATATAGATCCATCTCTCAAACAGCAAATTATTGTTGTTTTCCTGGTGTTTCTTACCTGCTGTTTTACCCTGACATCCTCTAGTCACACAGAATTTTATGACTTCAGATTTTCCACATCAATTAAAAATGAAAAAAAGAAGTTGAACAATGCATTGGTGTAAACCTGCAACTTTAGAAAGAAATGCAAAACATTTAGTGGTGAGTTTCAGTAATGATTTGAAAGATCACTGCATTAACTTTAAAAGCTTGAGGAGATTCCTTTCTCAGCCCCCACCTCCTGCATCAAGTAGACCTAGGGATACATGAGGAAATGCATTTGGAATGTCTCTAATGCTCCATTTGTTTAAAATGCCAACAGACCAAAGACCACCAGGGAGCATAAAGACAAGTTTTCAACAGTACAGACTGAACCACCTCTAGATTTCAGAAACCAGCCCCATGTAAGTTTTCAGGATTGTAAGTCCAAAATGAATCAAATGACATTCTAGTAGCTCTGCTCTTACCAATTCTCGTTGTGAACTTGTGACCTCTTCCAAACCTGCATTCAGTATTTGAGCAAGGAAGCCAAGATCCATCTGGCACCCGGGATAAGGATGCTTCTCTCTGTGACACAGCCAAATCCTGCTTTCCTCTGACCATGAGTTACTACAGCACTTTTCCAGTCACTTTTTAAACTTAATACTTTGAATTTTTACCTTCCCTTCAGGCCAGGAATAGTCCTCTGTCACACTTTTCTCCCAGGTTTTAACTTGCTGTGCATTTCAGCAGCCCATGCTCTCATTTCTTATCCTTATATATCCAATATACTCTTGATATATTCAGTTTGGTTTTGCCAAACACCTGTAAAGACAAAGTGTAGTGTGTACTCAGAGGATGATTTTACTGCATTTGTATGCAACACCAGTGCTAAAATTTGAGACTGACACTCTCAAGGAACTTCAGGAAGACACCATCACTGTTGACACTACAGAAACAGGGGACCACATCACCTTTTTTCTTGCATTTTGCACTGCCCTCATTTTAGGTAAAAAAATTATAAAAATGGACTCAGCAGATTTTTTTTCCCTCTATCAGAATGGTTCAAGACAGAATTTCTTATGTGTGAAGCAGGATTACTGTGGCATGCATACACTTCTGTTCAGTTCCAGCATCTTTGAACTGCAAAGAACAGAAAAAAAGCCTTCCAATGAAAATTGACTTCGATTCTCACACCCCGGGTTCAAGTCCAGCACAAAGCAAGAGATCCTCATTTGGGAGCTCATGCAATGCATGCCACCTCAGCTGGTGATGACACCACCAGAATCCTCAGCAAAAACCATCCCGACATCCAACACAATATAAGTAGAGAGCTAAATGCAAATAAGGAGTGAGCAGTGTCAGTTATGTTTTAAATTAGGAAAATAAGCGCAAGAAATTTGATTAAGAGGATTTAGAGGGTTGTCCTAGAGAGACACTTTGATGTCCATCCCTCTGAAGTTCTGAGTTGGCTCAAAGAATGTCGGCATCTTACCTCAGTTTCCTGGATCAGTTGGAGGACCAAAGTTGTTGGAGCTCTTCAAAGTTTCCATGTTCCAATGCTGAGTGCTCTCTCTCAAATGAGCATGATTCTTGCTATTAGTCTGGGGGATTCCTTTAGCCATCCATGAATACACAGGGTTTGAAGCCACTGGAACTGCTCACCAGTAATGAAGCCCACAACTGTATGGTGCACATCAATTCCCATAGGAACCAGGAACCCTATTGCATAGTTAGAGAGATCATTAAACTGTGAGCAATTCAGTCACTCTCCTGCCATATGCCACTGGTTCTGTCCTGATTTTAAAGATATTACAGTTAGGTGAGCTCTATTTCTGAAGGTAGCCTCTTTGAACTGAGTGATGTTTAATTACTTTCAAGGTATATCAGGCAGTTTTGTGAGGGGTGAGGAGACCTAGGCATTCTGGCAGCTCATCTGTGTATTAGCAAACAGCCCTGGCACGCTCACTGTGAAATTCACTGTGACCTGCTCTGCCAGGTTTTTTTGGAGTAATTTGCTTGCCAAATAAAGATATGTGACAGGCTTGAATAAATACCACGTTAATACAAAAAATAGGCAGAGAAAGGACATGGTACCTCAAGGAATGCCTTCATCACCATATGGCCTTTGATCAGATCACACTGGCAGTGAGAAAGCTAGACAGGAATTGTAAGGATTCAGCTACAGCATGGCCACAGAGCTCCAGCCCACAGCCTCTCACACAAGGTCTTCATAACACTGTTCTTCATCTTTCATCCAGCCATCCCCTCCCAGGGTACCACTTTGTCCAGAGAGGGTGCTTGGCATTGCAGCCAACACAAACAATGACTGTCCCTCTCTGTGGCTGGCTGGGACCAGGTGGGCCCTAAAGTGTGGAACTCTCTTCATTTTCCTCTCAGGTTTTGCCCAAGGTATCAGCTAGGCTGCCAAAAAGACACTGGGAAAATTCAGACTTTCATGTAATGAAGGTAAGAAACTTTTCCCTCCCTGGTATGGAAGTTTGCTTCCTCCCTAAAGAGAGAGCCTCACCAGGGGAGACCCATTCCGTACCACCCTGTGCACTTGCTGCTCCAGCTGAAATCCCATGTTCTTCAACTGGGTCTGAGTCTGACAGTAACAAACCACACAAACTCCCCCAGACAAGGCAATATCCTGAGGATGCAGCAGACAGATTGGAACTGTGACACTTCAAGAAGCAGCTATGCTTGAAACTACAGGAGGCACAAATGGGGAATGCAAGAAATCCTGCAATTTGCACTCAGCAGTACACAACTGCAAAACAACTGGACTCCATTTCTGGCCCTGAACTGAAAATGACTTGTGAGTTTTCCAACAGCCAGTGTGCCTGGAGCAGCCTGAGAACACAGCATCTCCAAACCATGTGAGGCTGCCAACAGCAACTACAAGGTAATCCTGCAGCATGCAAAATATTATGTGAGGGAGATTTTCAAACCTTGCTATTAAAAATATCCTTGGAATGATGGCTCTGTGCTGACACTCAATACATACAACCCCTGCTTCATGTTTCATTGGCAACAGCTCCCTGTGGGGAAGAGAAACATCTTGCAGTCATAAGGGAACTGCACAGAGCTGCAGCTCTGTGACCACTGGCAGGCTTCTCCAGTGGTCTCAAGCCTTGCCCACCAGCCTTTTCAGCTGAGGGGGTCAGGCTGCTTGTGAGCTCCCTGAACACATTCAAGGGATCAGT